GTCACAGATAGATGTAGCTTAGGGTCTCTGTCTATACACCTTATAAGACAATTTAGGTGATGGCATGTTGTTTTTCTGCTATTGAACTGTTTTCTAATAATGTTGTGTTAAATAAAGTGAAGGAAGGAGAGAAATAACGTTTCCCAAGCAGTTTTTAAAAATTTCCCCATGTAATCCGATTAATCGATTAATCGTGTCGAGACCCCATCCGATTAATCGATTATCCAAATAATCGTTTGTTGCAGCCCTACAATCAACTACTTAGACGTCATCGGCAGTCGACGGACCCCGAGCCGATCTTGCACCCGAGCAGATCCTGTACCGACACCGGCGGTCCGGAGGGTTGCGGTCAGAGTGGTGAGGTCACCGGACATCGAAACCACCATACTCGGAGATTAGTAGCTTCCTCTGAGTTCAGCTTCCCTGGACATGAGATGCAATCCGGGGTCTGCAGGTTAGGTGTCCAAGGTGGATGCCTGAGAGTTGAAGTAGCTCTGAAAAGAGCTTTTGTGTCTGTGATCGCTCGCAGCGTCGCAGAAAGGTTTTGACTTAAGGTCAAAGGAGATTGTTTCAAAAGAGGCCTCATTCCCGATTTGGCCGAACCGGAAGTCAGCTGGAAACTGAATTAATCGGGAAGTAATTCCTGTTCTTAATAAACTCATTATTTATCTTTTCTGGCATATTCTGGCAAATCAGATTACGTGTCATTTAATGAGCCATAAGGCGTGGGATTCCATAGGAAATATGAAATCCACCTTACGGATCTGTGAGTTATTTAAACCAGAAGATTGGATCTTTTTATTGCAGGGATTAGTTAACAGCTTCGTATTCACTCACAGACAACAGGAGAGAGAGAGTCGAGTTTAAAAGTTAAGAAATTTATTACTAACAAATTAAACTAGACTGACTTTAAGCACTAAATATATGGTGTAACTTAAGTGGACGAGACGGTGGATGGATGACGTGTGATGTTAAATCAGAACCAGCAAATCCGAAGTAGCGATTGGTTCTGACGGGAACTGAAGGTGATGTCTTCGCATTAAGCTTTGGTTAGGAGGTCCATAAACACATGAGACACCATTATGCCGGTCTACCTACCCTTCGGGAAGTCCTCTGTAGATCAGGAATATCGAGGTCTTAGCTTGACCCTCTCTGGAACCGAGCCGGTAGGAAAAGCTGCGGCTCCGATCAGACCCGTCTTTGAGTTACTTCCGGGTACACGACAGTTTGTTGGCGTCTGGTGAGACCCAAGCCTGGGTCTTGATAGATAAGCTTTTATTCTGAAAGGAACTGTTGCCGCAGTTGGTATAGCGACAAATTTTTCAGCTTGTCGTTTGTTCTTTCGGTTAAAGAGTTAAGATCGGGATTGGCCACTCCGTCACTTTCTCTGGAATGCTTTGAACTGGCGTTAGAGATGACGTGGCATAGTTTTATACTTCGGATGTTATGGTTTATGGTCGAATGAAAATTACCAAACACCATCAGAACCACGCCTCCGTCAGATCTGTAAGATTCTGATTGGATCAGTGAAAGTAATGTGTCGTGTCTTTTAACGCTACGTGAAATGAGTCCTGTTGGAACACTTAAAGTCATATTACTTATTATATTCTATAGGATCATAATAAAGTAATTAATATTTTGATTTCACTGATCGGTCCCATCTTATTTATTGACTAACACTGATGGATTAGCTTTATTAAAATAGAGTTCTTTGATTAATTAAAAGAAAAGAGTTCATTCTTCTGTTGGGCTGAAAATAAGCAGGTTAGAAGGAATGCATGAGACCTTGAGACCATCTCTCATGCAGACTAGTCCTGTGCAGAGAAAGGGAAAAACAGTCATTGCGTTCCGTTACACATGTCTGGAAGGCTTTACCAAAACATCCTTCAGAAAGCCACGCCTTCCTTCAGATACAAAGATGGTTTTAACCTTAATGAGTATCTTATTGTAATGTGTATGAGTGTAGATAATGAGTAACTTGTTAAATCAAACAGTGATTTGTGAGATAAATGGATCATTGTAAGAACAACATTCAAATTCAGATTTATTGGTTTAAGCACAGATTATTCAAACATTTCATTTAAACATCTTGTTCATTCATCACATATGATTATTGTAATCTTATGAGTTGTAAAAGTCACAGAAACTTTTACTTGTTCAGAGTGAAGAATGTTGACGTCTGGCATTCATGCAGAGGGTGTTGGAACCTTGGGAGAGAATGATTGTTTGAATGTTTGGTCTTCATGGAATGTCAACACGCGCTGAACAGAACCTTCTGGTTCTGGAAGGCCAAACAGAAAGTGGATTTATGCTGTAGATGAAAGGTTATTATTGAAACATCTTTGGTGTGTTCTTGCTGTGTTGAAATTCTAATTCCATCTTTTAGTTCTTGTTAAAACACTGAAAGGTTTTATTTACCTGCAACTAGGGCTGCACGATATTAGGAAAACCTGCGATATTCGATAACAGTGCTTAATATTGCGATATCGATATTATTTGCGATAAATGAACAAATACTAAAGTATGCAGTGTTGATGTCGTCTGGCGTGTGACGTCTGCTCTGGGTTCAAAGCAAACAAAAACTAATGCATGAATTCCATTACAACATAACATTTTTATTGCAAAAATATGCAGCTGCACCTGCTACTGTATTAGCACCTGCTACTGTATTAGCAGCTGCACCTGCTACTGTATTAGCAGCTGCACCTGCTACTGTATTAGCAGCTGCACCTGCTACTGTATTAGCAGCTGCACCTGCTACTGTATTAGCAGCTGCACCTGCTACTGTATTAGCAGCTGCACCTGCTACTGTATTAGCAGCTGCACCTGCTACTGTATTAGCAGCTACACCTGCTACTGTATTAGCAGCTGCACCTGCTACTGCATTAGCAGCTGCACCTGCTACTGTATTAGCAGCTGCACCTGCTACTGTATTAGCAGCAAAACAACAAACTGCATGCATGCAGTTTCTCAGTGACTTTAAAACATCACCTCCACCATAAAACTTTTCCTGATGCTCCAAATACAGAAAAACATCCCTTACCAGGGTTTTTAGAATAAATAAAAATATCAGAAAATAAGTTTAAATGTTAAATAATAGTTAACATCACTTAAATGCAACAGCAAATTCTCTCATTGCTACTGAGCATTTTCTCCGCTTATGTGGTTATGATATAAGGCTGTTGCTGCAATTGGGAAGTGAACTGTGCTGGGCCAAACTTAGAGAATATTAAGATTTTCTGAGGGAAAGAGAAAAACAATTGTCTACCTTTCAGAAGAGGAACTGGCAAAAAACTACATGGAAAATATGTGAAAACGTTTGTTTTTAACTTCAAATTGAACAAGTTTACCTAGATCTTAAAAAGCAGCTCAGATGATGAAACTGCAACTATGATTCTGGTAACAAGCTATCAAATTGAACTAAGATAAGCGGCTAGCAGAGCTTCTGACTGACAGTTTATGTGCAGCAGCAAATCAACTATCCTGATTAACAAGGTTATAAAAGCTCATAAAGGAAAAATCACTTTGATGTGTGGGGGAACTTTTCCAGGCCCTCTTTAGCAGGGTGGGACTGGGAGGAGAGTGTTGTAGCCTCTTAGCTGGAAGCTAACCGGAGCCTGGGGCTAACACTAGCGACATGGAGGTAGGTTGGTTCACCGGCACGTGTCGGAGTCAGCCCGGTAAAAATGATTAACGACACCGAGCGGACTCACGTTCACGTTTGAAAGCAGCGCTGAATCCAGAAACCTCAGCACAAAGTGCGTTCGTTGCTCTGAGCCAGCATGACGAACAAGGGAACAGCGCCGCAAACTCAGTTCGGGTGTTGCTTTCCAAAAGGGTCTACGTAGGGGGCGGGCGTATTACGTGAACGGAACCATCTGATTGGCCACATGTCAGAAGGACTGCATTTGATTGGTCAAATAATACTTCTGCGTAAAAAACAGAGCTGGTTTACAAAACGTTGATGTATGACACGGATGGAAATGTTGAACCAAACATTTATCGCCGTTTTTGCCGTGTTTAGCGATGGGCCTATCGCACGTCCTGTTATCGCGATGACGATAATTTTCCGATATATTGTGCAGCCCTACCTGCAACGTTTCGTTTGCGGACGCGTCTCTCTCTCTCTCTCTCTCTCTCTCTCTCTCGCTCTCTCTCTCTCTCTCTCGCTCTCGCTCTCTCTCTCTCTCTCTCTCTCTCTCTCTGTCTCTCTCTGTCTCTCTGTCTCTCTGTGTCTCTCTCTGTCTGTCTCTCTCTGTCTCTCTCTGTCTCTCTCTCTCTCTCTCTCTCTCTCTCTCTCTGTACGAGCAAGCGAGCGGAGCGCGCCGCGTGACAACACCCTCAATAAACATAGTTCACGGCCCAAATCCAACGGAACTGGTCGGGCTGATTCAGTTCGGTCTCAGGTTACAACTCTAGCGCTCAGCCCTGCAGTACCACATTAAGGCGGAACCACTTGGTAAATGTGGAGGACGCTCACTCTGACAGATTTGGATGCTGCACTGGTGCCGCCGTTAAAAAAACAAAACTACATTCCACTCTAATCTATTATGGCGTCCTCTTCTACGATGCAGAATCGTTAATGTCCGCATCCTGATGCATCGATAATTTGATTATTTTCCTCAGCTCTATAAGAAGCCATATGGGGACATCAACAGATGCTCTTTCATCATTTGAAAACTCAGATGTTTCATTTAAAACATATTTGATAATTTCTCATATTTTAGAAATCAAATTTGTAGACTTTTGCTTGAATTCCTGTTTTCCGATGGGATGACGTGGATTCTTCTGTAATTTGGTTGAATAATAAGTTTTTGATTGCCAGCCTGGCGGGCCATCCTGTAAATGGGAACCTGCAGAGCACAGTCATTTAGCTTCTGCTACAGCCCGTGTAGATGTCGTACGTTTAATTTGTATTTGTTAAAACCACAGGAACCCGTGTTTTTAGGTCTTTTTGCCAGACTGAGAACGTTTCTAAACTGACGCCTTCGTCCTTTCAGGCTGCATCGAACTCCCATCAAGCTCCAGTGTTTTGTCATCGACTCCATCAGCAACAAGAGGGAGGGTGTCGGCTACATCATCCTGGACCTCAGGGAGGTTCAGGAAGTCAGACAGGTAAAGCGTCGGTCTGGAGGAGAATCGGGTGTTTTTAGAAACCGTTTTGATGGAAGTTGTGATTCTCAGGAGCCTCGTTGGTACCCACTCCTGAGCAGTAAATACACCAAACAGAAACCCGCTCTCCTCATCGGCGTGATGCTGGAGAACGACTCCAAGGCCTCTGAAGCCTCTCCTGAGGGCTTTAAAGCCAGGAAGGCCCCCCCTCGGCGAGGTCCGCTCCTCTGTTCTGGTCCTGCTTGTTTCAGTCTGTCCCGTTTCTACAGCGATGCTCTGGATTGCTGTCTTTTCCTGCAGGTTCTGCTTCGGTAACGGATCTGCTTCCTGACAAGCTGGAGGCCGTTCTGATCCCAGATCAGGGTTACCACCAGGTGGGGCCAGCGGGTCTCTGCACGGACATGTTTGTCCTGTCTGTCACCGTCGCCTTCGCTACCCGACTAGAACAGGTAAACGTTACTCAGGCGTTGCCGCGGTTACCAGGGGCTGGATTAATACAACTGTTTGAGCATTCGGAAACATCTGGAGTCCAGTTTGATGTGTTGGTGTTTCTCTTTCTGTTGGAATCGTTTATAACCGAGAAAATCTGATGGATGGAAAAAAATTATTTTATGAAACAAAAAATTGGGCCAGCTCTATACTCTTGCAAGGGTGATGGAGGGGGCATGGGAGTTTGCCCAACCAATCCACATGTGTTTTGTGGATATGGAGAAGGCTTATGACCGTGTCCCCAGGGGCACCCTGTGGGGGACGCTCCAGGAGTATGGGGTGGGTGGCTTTCTGTTAAGGGCCATTCAGTCCCTTTACCAGAGGAGCGTGAGTTTGGTCCGCATAGCCGGTAGTAAGTCGGACCTGTTCCCGGTGAGGGTTGGACTCCGCCAGGGCTGCCCTTTGTCACCGGTTCTGTTCATTACCTTTATGGACAGAGTTCCTAGGTGCAGCCGTGGTGTGGAGTGTGTCGAGTTTGGTGGCAGGAGAATCTCGTCTCTGCTTTTTGCGGATGATGTGGTCCTCCTAGCTTCATCCAGCTCTGACCTTCAGCTCCTGCTGGGTAGGTTCGCGGCCGAGTGTGAAGCGGCTGGGATGAGGATCAGCACCTCCAAATCTGAGACCATGGTTCTCGACCGGAAAAGGGTGGCTTGCCAACTCCGGGTCGGGAGAGAGGTCCTACCTCAAGTGGAGGAGTTTAAGTATCTCGGGGTCTTGTTCACGAGTGAGGGTAGGAGGGATCGGGAGATCGACAGGCGGATTGGTTCGGCGTCTGCAGTGATGCGGACGCTGAGCCGATCTGTCGTGGGGAAGAGGGAGCTGAGCCAGAAAGCCAGGCTCTCGATTTACCGGTCGATCTACGTCCCAATCCTCACCTATGGTCATGAGCTTTGGGTAATGACCGAAAGAACGAGATCGCGGATACAAGCGGCCGAAATGAGTTTCCTCCGTAGGGTGGCCGGGCTCAGCCTTAGAGATAGGGTGAGGAGCTCGGACATTCGGGAGGGACTCGGAGTAGAACCGCTGCTCCTCCGAATCGAAAGGAGTCAGTTGAGGTGGTTTGGGTATCTGGTCAGGATGCATCCTGGACGCCTCCCTGGGGAGGTGTTTCGGGCATGTCCTGCCGGCAGGAGGCCCCCGGGTCGACCCAGGACACGTTGGAGAGGTTACATCTCCAATCTGGTCCGGGAACGCCTTGGGGTCCTGCCGGAGGAGCTGGTGGAGGTGGCCGGGGAGAGGACGGTCTGGAGCTCCCTAGTTGGGATGCTGCCCCCGCGACCCGGACCCGGATAAGCGGAGGAAGACGACGACGAAAAATTCTAACAGCTGAAAGTAAATCTGAGCTGAATTAAATAATCCCTAAAATGTTTTCTGTTTCTGTAATTTTCCTCCCTGTAAAAATGTTTTGGTGGTAAAACGGTGGAACTGGGTTATTGTGGGCTCTAGTTTGACTTGATAAAGATTTAAAGAGCAAGTCACTCCCTACCAGAGTATTACTCCGCACCCACTTCCTGTTTGAAAAATGCAACAAATGCTGTTGCCTAGCAGACCGAGAGGGCGGAGCCGCTAAAAACACACACACACACACACACACACACACACACACACACAGGCTCACGACATTGTGACACCATATGGTACCAGCTAACATTCTAGGGTACCTCTTAGCCAATAGCGATGGCAGATTTAAATTCTAATGCAGTGCAGAGTTTTTACCTGACAACGGCACGAGTTTTAGTCAGAAAATTAAAATTTTAACTAAGATGCACTAAAGTGCAAAACTATTGACTACACGTGTCTGCAGCACGATTAGACACACATTTATGTAGTTTATCAGGAAAAAAGTTGGTTGTGGGGTGACTTACTCTTTAATTAGCAGAACTTCCTCTTACCCTTAACGAGTTACTGTTGCTGCAGCTGATTCCCAGCACCAAGAAACTTTACTCAGAGCAGTCTGGCTTCTTCTTCTACTACTCCCTACTGGGGAATGACATCACCAGCGAGCCTTTTCACAACCTTCTGGGTCCGGACTTTGAGCCAGAGCGCGCCTCCGTCCGCATCCGCAGCAGCAAACCGGTCCTCCAGACCTTCCTGTCCCAGCAGCCCAGCCTACAGGTGAGTTAGCATGACGTAGAGACTCGTCGTGTCTCTTCGTGCGTCTGATGTCCTCGTCGCTCCTCAGATCCATCTCTGCTGTGGGGATCACTCTCTAGGCAGCACAGACGTTTCCCTCTCCACTCTGGCTGCTGTTTCTGGTGATCTGGAGAACAAGGCAGCGACGGTGGAAGGAGCCTTCGTTCTTCTCACTCCCAAACGTGCGAAGCTGCCAGCTCTGCCCGCCGACCTGCAGCCAACCATCGGAGTGGCTGTTTCTCTGAGGAGGGAGGAGGCACCGCAGGTAACCCGTGGTCAGATTTGATCCTTTGTCGTCAAGATACAAAAGTTTAAAAACAGCTAAAGAAGAACTTAGAAAGACCTTCAGAACATCTGGAGAACTCCTGATGGACGTCTGAACCATCTCGTGTCTTTCCAGCCCTCTGTGGTGAATAAAGACCGGACCAGAGCTCCAGCTGAGCCGGGACCTCAGAGCTCCTCTCCAGTCCAGAAACCTTCAGACCATCCTCCTCCACCTGCTCCTCTTCCTCCTCCTTCCTCTCACACTGAGAGCGAAGCTGAGAGTCTTCTAGAGGAGCTAGAGTTCCACAAAGAGCCAACGGGAGCAGCAGGTGAGCTTCAGCGCTTTCAGGCGAGCAGTTTGAACCTTCCAGAATGTTTTGGTTGAGGGTGTGTTGTTCTGGAGTCCAGCTTCAGCTGCAGATGTGGAGGTTCCTGCTCCTCTGCCTGGTCAGCCTGAGGTCATAGCAGCAGGAGGAGCATCCTCCATCAGTGTTTCTGCTCCCAAGGTGGCAATCCCCTCCTCCGCCCATCACTACTGCTTCTCCCTGGACCTCCGCAGCCTGGGGAAGCTCAGCTTAACTCACTCCATCGCCGCTACGCTCAGGTGAAGCGCCTCACCTGCGACACGTCGGATCTGTAAAACCAAACCAGGATTTGGCTAATTTGGGTTTTTACGCCATCTTTGTTTCAGGTATTCCTACCGGTTCTTTGGCAGCGCGGCTCCCATCATGACCAACCCTCCTGTGGAGCTGCAGAGGAACATGGAGGTGTCGCTGCCTCAGTCCTACTGCGCCTTCGACTTCGCTGCCCTGCCGCATCAGCTGCAGGACACCTTCCTGAGGTAGGAACACCTGTGTGTGTGTGTGTGTGTGTGTGTGTGTGTGTGTGTGTGTGTGTGTGTGTGTGTGTGTGTGTGTGTGTGTGTGTGTTTTTAATGCAGTGTGTTTCTGCTCTTTGTGTTCCAGAGTTCCTCTGACGGTGGAGCTCTGGCACCGAGGCTCCACCAGCAGGGATCAGCTGATTGGACGAGCCTCCATCCACCTGTCTCACCTGCTGAACTCAGACAGAACCAGAACCGTTGGATCCACCGGAGAGCAGAGCTGGAAGCAGATCCATCAGGACCGGATCCCCGTGGTCCAGCCACAGAGGTAGGGACCACTGGCTGATGATGATGATGATGATGAGGGTTTAACGGCTGCCTCTTCGTCCTTCAGTCCAGCAGAGAAAGTGGCGGAGCTGAGCTACGTGGCGACGCTGGAGGACCTCGGCTTCGTCAGAGCTAAAGAGGTCGTCCTGTCTGAGTCCTTACAGGTGGGTACAGGTGTTTTCACCTGGTGGAGCGCCACAGGAAGTCCAATCCTGTTAAAATTTTTTATATTTTCATTATTTAACCGGGAAGATGAGGAAACTTTGTCATGTCTGGCTGTAAAGCAGACTTTAACTCTCATGCTTGTGTTTAACATCAGAATGAACCTCCAGCCGCTCCGCCACCGGCCTCCCACCCCGCAGCGTCCCCTCAGGGTCCGCCGGGCCCCATCGGCACCAGAGAGACCCTGGAGTACCGCGCCGCCCTGGAGCTGGAGATGTGGAAGGAGGAGCAGGAGGACCTGTTTGATGATCAGGTAGAAGCTCCAACAGCAGCTAGGCTCAATCATGAAAGTTCTGATTAAAGTTCTGACCAGAACGCCGGTGGGTCCTCGGACCCGGGTCAGAGCCTATTGACGGTTTGTGTTTCAGCTGAGGAGGAAGGAGCTGAGGCACATGCAGGCGCTGGCAGAAGAGTGGAAGAAGAGGTACGCAGAGAGGGAAGCTCTGCTCAAGAAGAAGGTGGAGAGTTTTCCCTTCAGCTGAACGGAAACATCACGTCTGGTCCTCCAGCGTCTTCATCCGCTGCCCGTTTGTGTCTGTAGGAGGTGGAGCTTAGCCGGCTGGAGGAGAAGCTGCAGAAGACTCTGGTTGATCTGGAGAGGAGAGAGAAGCAGATGTCAGAGGCCGAGCTGCAGGTCAGGTCCTCCCGATGATGATGATGATGATGATGATGATGGTGGTTTCAGGATTTTATACCAGCAGTTAGAACCGAGTCAGAGGTCAGCTGAAGCTTCATCTGCTGCTAAACCAGCGGAAGCTTTACTCCTAGGCTGCAGCGCCACCGTGTGGTCAAAGCCAAGCGTGCAGTCAGTTCAAACAAGTAAAAAAAAAAACATCCAATAATAACAAATAATCAACATATAATGACTAATGTTAAACCATAAAAGATATTTAAACTAGTTTGTTTCTAAAATACATAAATTAAAATGGATTCAGCGGGTTTACATGAATTTAAATCAGATTTGAATTAAATAACATTAAATCACTTTTAGATAAATAAAACAGGATTAGGATCGTGTTGTTTCTGACTCTTAAACTGTTGTAATGATTAATAATGGTAATAAATATTGTTTGTCTTCATTTTTTAGGTCCAACACCCAGATTTTGGTTTTGTAAAATAATTTTATTTAAAAAAAAAAAAAGCAATTTATGCTTTGATCACATTAAATTTGCCTGATAGAAACATTCTTATAGGTTTTAAATAAAAAATTATCTTAATAAAAACAATTAACCTAAATGTTTCTAGAGAAAATATTTAAACATGAGTTTGTTTCTGTCATCAGTCGGTTTCAATCTAGAGATTAAATCTTTTCTATCAAACGAGTAAAAACTGAGTTTTGGTCTTTAGAATCATGAATTCTCCAAAAAGAAACTGAACTATCGGTCGTCTCCGAGCTTCTCAAAGAAACCGTTTTGATACGTATCCCGTTTCTTCGGCGTTTTCCTGGCGGCTTTCTGAGGTTTTGCTCTACGCTCAGACTCAGCGGCTGCAGCGGGAGCTGCGATCCGAACACGAGCTCACCCAGAAGGAGGTGCAGGAGCAGAGCAGGAGGCTACAGCGGGAGTGTGACCACCGGGTGGCGCTGGAGAGAGAAAAGGTCCAACTGATGGAGCAGGAGCGAGAACGGCTGCTGCAGCAGGTAGGGAGGGGGCGGGGCCTATTTACAGGGTTCCTGCAGGGTCTTAAAAAGTCTTAAAAGCATTGAATTTTGACCAGTGGGTCTTAAAATGTGTCCTCTAAAGTTTCATTTACCAACCACCATCGTTTTTATTAAATAATGTTGCATCATTAAAGAGAGGCAGAACCCATACATGAGAACGCAGCACAGCCTCGGGTCAAAATACTCTGAACACGTGACGTGTTCAGGTCCCGCGCTCCAGCAGTGAAACGAAACGGTAAACAACACAGACCTCCAGCAGACCACGAGAAAGGGTGACTGACGCTTATGGCTGGGTGCCAGAACTCTGGACCTCTTTGGGACGGAGTGGAAACATTCAGTAGGTACCCAATGTGCCACCGCGGGTCACATGACTGATCCCGAGTCACGCTATGAGCGGAGGAGACGCGTCTCATTTCAACAACAAATCTAAGTGTTGTCTCCTCCATTCATAACATGACTCGGGATCATTGATGCTAAAAAATAAACTCAAATGTTTGAGTGCGTGTTGCTAAAGTAAGCAGCAGCTAAATGCAACACCAGCGAGAAGATTAGTGCAGCAAAAATCAGGAATAGCAGCAGTTTAAACACCTGGCCGTGCAGCGCCTCATCTGGAGAGCTGAGACGTGGAAAGTCTCTGATCTCCATCACCTCCCAAATCACTGCAGGAGTCTGAGGATGGAGGCTGATGAAGGCAGAAACGGGACAGAAAACCAGCTCGGCTGCTGTTCACCAGCTTTATAAATGCCGTTCACCAGGTTGTTACTGCATTAATGAAGCTATTTTATACATGTTGTGCCTTTAATGTTTGCTGAAATAAAGTATAATAAAATAAAAATACAAGCAAAACCTCTAGTTTGTTCTCCTAAAATAAAAAAATGTAGATTTCAACAAAAGTATCGTTAAGGTAGTAGTATGAAGTACTATCTCCTGGTACCCAGCCCTACTGATGCTGTTATGTTTTAAACGCGTTATCCGTTACCATGGCTACGCTTTCTGCGAAAGCTCAAACCGCTCTGCTGCTGTTCTACCGAGTGTTTTCGCAAAATATAATAAAAGATAAATTTTATTTTAATTTTTTTTGCCGGTAGGGCTCTGAAATAGGTATTACATTTTTATATACAGGGTATCCGCGGGTCCTTAAAAAGTCTTAAATTAGCTTTTCCAAATTTAAGGCCTTAAAATCCTTAAAAATGACAAATAATCCTTAAAGTTTCCAAAGGTCTTAAATTACTAAAGACCCAATAAACAAGATTATTTTATTTCTATAAAGTTTTCATGAATTTCTAGTTAGTGTTCTGCATTTTATTTGTATGACATTGGAGTAAGCGGAACCGTACACATTCAGTTGGTTGTGAAAGGGGGCTTTTTTTAGATGAGCACATTAGCTGGTTAAGCTAGTGGGAGCTTGCGCCATGGGGAAGTGCAAGTTTAATGGTAACTGAATGGCTAATCCCACGTTCGCGACGTGGTTAGCAGCGGTTCCAGGCAATAGCTGGAAATTATATCATAAATTTGGTCAAAGTGGTCTTAAAAAAGGTCTTAAAGTCTTAATTTTGGCCCCCTTAAACCTGCAGAAACCCTGTATGTAAGTGGTCTTCAAAGGAGCCGCGTATTTAACCAGCTGGTGTCACATGATGAAGTCTGTTTCTGTCGCTCAGACGGCGGACGGGGAGGCCCGTTACAAACAGCTGGAGAGAGAGTTTCAGCTCTACCGAGAACAGCAGAACCTGCGACCCGAGTTCAGACTGCAGTCAGACATCAACCTGATGAGGCTGGAGAAGGTAGGCACCAGATTACCTCAGATTACAGATTATACAAGAGTTTACAAGGTTTAGAAAACGTTAATTATCTCAAGGTCCTAAACATCCGGCTGCCTCGGGTTTTTCCTTCACGTTGTGAAGTTTGGGTTAAAGTATTTAGTGAAAAATAAAACCTGTTTTAACCGTCAGCTATGCTTCAGCTCACTATGCTGACCGAACCGTTCACTTTAGAATATCGTCTTAATAAAAACTTTAAATGCTGAACTGCAGGAAAAAAAGCTGAAATTGTAATCATTTTTTACAGAAGTGTATAGCATTCAGCCACAAAATAAAAAAATCTTTGTTTTTCTGAATTAACGAGATAATTTTTACAGAAAATAATAAAATAATCTCGCTATGATGATGCTCTGTGGCATTATTAACTGAAAGAGGAGCTCAAACGTTGTTTGGGGGTTGAGACGCCGTGTGAAACTCTCGTTTACCAAACGTTCGTAGAAACATTCCTATATTCTATCCTAATCTTTAAGATGATTTATTACTAAATAATTTTAAACAATTTAACAAGACTAACTCTCTAATGATGGATTTTCTGTTTGAATGAGGTGTGAGATGGATGGTGTGTGTGAACGAGTGTCATTCAGAACCCTCGTATCCGGAGAAGCAAGTCTGAGTGGGATGATGTTTTGCGTCTAACTGATCAGAGTTTGAGACTTGTAGTCATAAACACATGAGACGCCATATTTGTCGCATCCACACATACCCTCAGTGAGAGCTCAGTCACGGATCCATAAATTTGATTTATTAAAAGAAAAGAGTCTTTTAATCTTCTTTCTTCTTTTGCTGGAAAGTAAACAGTTTAGAAGCAAATGCATGACCTTGAGGCTGTCTCATGCACTCTAGCACTGTGTCAGAGGCATCTGTGGAAAGAGGTTAAATAACCTTGAGGAATAGCTCCTTCATCACGTTACAAATAAGAAATATCAACCTAGATTATAGTTACTTTTACTTGTTCAGGTGTGATTTTTATCTTGAGAGGCGCTATAGAAATATTTTCTTCTTCTTCTTTAGGGACCATAAACACACTTCGTATTAATTCAGACAGAATCGGGTATATAAAGTTAAAAGGAGTTTTATTATTTTCTAAACTCATGATTATACATGACAAGATATGAATAATGAGATATGATGGAGTGTGATGTGTAGGTGGTGTGATGCAAGTTAAATGTTTATCAGAACCGTTGTACCTGAAAGAAATACAAAGCGTCTCAATCCCAAAACAGTCAGTGAAGTAGACTCAACAAACGAGACAGTCAACAATACCAGAGCATTATCTGCAGTTTAATTTTTACTGTAAAAATTACCTTAATTCAGAAACTTGTTCTGTGGCTGAATGCAATACTCTTCAGTAAAAGGTCAAACTTAAAGCACAAGTCAGCCCCAAATCCACTTTTTTTTGCTGATAAACTATATAAATGAGTGTCTGATTGTGCTGCAAACAAATGTAGTCAATAATTTGGCACTTTAGTGCATCTTTGTTAAAATTTAAATATTCTGACTAAAACTGTCAGTGATGCGCCATTGTCAGGTAAAAACTCTGCGCTGCATTTGAATTTAAATCTGCCACCGCTATTGGCTAAGAGGTACACTATGATGTTAGATGGTTGATTATGATGTCACAATGTCACTAAAGTGCCAAATTATTGACTACATTTGTTTGCAGCACAATCAGACACTCATTTATATAGTTTATCAGCAAAAAAAAAGATGATTTGGAGTGACTTAGTTTTGTTATTTTACAGGAATAACAGGTTTTTATTTCTCTGGTTGTTTAAGGTGGAACTAGAGAGGAAGCTGGAGTCCACCACCAAGTCAAAGCTTCACTACAAACAGCAGTGGGGTCGCGCCTTAAAGGAGCTCGCTCGCTTCAAACAGGTACTGCCTTAAACCATTACCACCTTAACCAGGGGCCACCATAACCCAGTACCGCCCAACAGGCGTGTGCGTGTTTCTGATCGCTGACCGAATTGTGTTATTTATCAGAACCTCGTTGCATAAAACGATCCGAGCCTCTGATCTTTTAGGATGTCGGTTACTGACCTGCTGAAGACGTCCGACCGGTGTAGAGACAACTCCGTGTTGTCTTCTGTCCTTAAACCTTTAATCTGTCCAACTAGTCCTGATGCCTTGGATAATAACGGGCAGATGTTAATCATTACCTGGACAGGTGTGGAGCTGCTCAGGTTGATTCAGCTCATGAAGGTGATTCGTGTCAGGCAGCGTTCCTGAAACACCGGCAGCCGTGTGGTTCAAACGAGACCTTCAACGATTTCACCTCGAGCATTTTTATAAGAATCGTTTCACCTGAGAAATATTTGAGTTGGTAGGTTTTTATTTCACAGCCATTTAATACCTGAAGTTTCCTTTTACCCCCCCAACGCAAACACTGCTGTGATTTATGCAGCTCCCCCCCCCCATTAATCATCTCTGGGATTGTAAGTCGGGCGCTAACTGTTCACATGTCGCCCTCTGGTTTCAGAGAACATCAGGCGGGTGTTTACACGAGCGCTTTGTTTGGGTTTGCTCCTCTCAGCGCCTCGCATGGCGCGCTGTTTAGCTCAAGTCCTATCATAAAAATTCTTGTCTGAGGAATAATGTGCTTTCCGACCCGGGAGGTGAGAGTTAATACCCAAACAGGACGGAGGTGTCTGATCAGAGGCTCCGCTGCCGTCTTCCTGGATTCAAAATATTGGGACAAGGAGCTGAAGTTGTTCTTCTGCGAGTAAAAATATTGGGACAAAAAGATTAAAGATCTGAGCTAAATTTGGGGCTTTTAAACTGGGAGGTCCACATCAACTACGTCTGACTTTTTAAAAGCTCTTGTAGGAACAGAAATGTTCACACGGGTCGCTTTAGATTAAGGAGGAAGAGAGAAGACCCGACTGGAGCAACAAGGAGCTCCAGTTTAACGCTTTAATCAGAGAGGATGGATGGTAGAGGCCAGGCTTTGTGGAGCGTTTCTGAGTAGTCGCCGTCTCACCTGCTTCAGGAGTCACACTAACTGGAAACATTCCACCTTCAACAACTTAAAGTGGTTCTTCTGAGTCTCTGTCTTCAGTAGGTCTAATGTGATGATGTCACAGTCAGCTGGGGAGGGGAGGGCCCCCTCAGGAGGTTCGCAGTGACACGTTTACCAGAACCACAGATCACGGGTGACGATTCCGACACGGACTGGAGCCGAGCTACCGTTAGCCTCTCATCAATGATTAAGAGCTGGGAGAGAAATGAAAGATTTACCGCACTGACCCGAACATAGGACGACCCCCCCCTTCCAGGACTAATGTTTAGGAAAAGACAAAAAAAAATCACTTTTTAAATAAACAGTTCTTATTAAATTTTTGAGAACAAATACCGATGAAAAATACAATTTTAATGCAAACTTTCAGAACTTTGCTGACATGTGAATCAGAAGGCTTTTATTCGCAGACGTCCTCTTCCTCGCTGTACTGACTCGCTTATGTTGCTGCGGTCCTGGTGTACCATCAGATCGCTGCACCTGCTGGCTCCTCCCACAACGTCTTCCTCACTGCCATCCAATGCATCCACGACCACCATCATCTTAAAATTAGCACCATCACTCTGCCGTAGAAGCTTGCTAACTCGTCTCCAGTAGAGGGCACGCGGCCTGGCGCCCTCTGCTGTTACGGCCGTGTAATGACCCCAGACAAATATCAGCATTTGTGATGCTTAGACCTCGTTTATAAGACGACCCCACATGTAACAAATTCGCTGCCAGCGTTTTTCACCGTTTTTACAGTTTTTTTAAGAGTCGCAGAACGTTGCACGCTAGGATGACGTCAACGCCAAAACAACCAAAACAAAGCGGAGACTCACTTCTTGCATCAGGAAGAATCTGTGCGTTTCGAGCGTTATCCGTTCTTTCATAATCCGTTGTTGAATTGTGATCGGCAGACGCTTTTCCGGTTCGTGCCTCACTTTTTTTACAGCAGCGGCCCAAAACGATCTCCTGACACATGGATGTTCTGCTTCCTGATCACGTGACGTGTGACGTATGTGGATGAAGATCGGCTTTAGAGCTGAGATGTTTGTTCTCACGGTGCGGGGGCTCGTCCGACACCCACACAGTAAAAAAAATGCAAATGACGACTTTAATCGTCGATGGCGGTAAATGAGTTCAAAATTATTTTCTATGGAAAAACCCTCGTCTCCGATTCGGGTCAGTACGGTAAGTCTGGGCTTTCTTAGTTCAAAGTAAGGTCTCTAAACATATTTTAATACTTTAGCCAAAGTGACCCACATGAACGTTTGTCCCTCTAAAGCTCCGCCCTAACGTTGAGACGATTTTAGCAGAAAGATGTAGAAGCATCCAAACCTTCTGCTGCCATGTTGAGCGGAGAACCTCTCCCACCAGTGGTGTTCTGGTGCGGAGTACGTGAGTGTGTGATGAGTGGAGGACCCAGGGAGGTGCGGCGGCTCGGTGAGACCGACAACCGGAGGGTCCGACTGTTGGTTTCAGACAGAGTTGTGTTATTGGTGGAGGTTTTTAGACAAATGCGTTTTTTATCTCCAAAAAATATTTGTAGCTCCTCATTTTTCATTATTTTCTAAGGAAGCTTGCAGACATTTAAAATGATGATCTGGTTTTACGAGCAGGAATTCAGCTGGAACATGAATTCAGCTCAACTCCCAGAAAGGGTGATTAAAATAAAAGCAAGTTTTTGAAAATATTTTCTGTTTGCAAGAAAGGGAAGTGAGAATTTCCTTTTTTAAACTAGGAATCTGATTTGGATTTGGAATCGGATCATATTTTTTCACCAACAGTGTTATTTACTCCTTAAAGTCCGGTGGTTCTGCTCCGTTTGCTGAAATCCGTCAGACAGAATTTGAAACATGCAGTCTGAGTTAACTGGTCCCAGAAGAGTCTGGGCTGGTTCCCACTGGTCATTCCTAGAATATTCCCGATCCCCAGTGTGGACGGCGTTGACCCAGTCGGGTCAGAGTCTGAGTTGTTCTCCAGAAAGTTGCTTTGCTGGATGTCTTAGACCAACAAATAGTGATAAACGTCACCTTTAGGGGTCAAAGGTCACCGGCAGGCCGACCTAGGGGGCAGGAATATCTGATGTCTAAACTTTGCTTCAGAAAAATTAGATTATAAAGTAACATGTTCATATTTACCGTAATATTTGAGCTCCAGCACTCTGACTACGGCAAGCCAACAGGTCACATTCCTAAAAGGTTTGTTTCTGCTGCTCATCAGGAGGTTTACCGCTAGACGACTTCTCAGGATAAACGCTGAGTCGCTGTTTTTAGGCAGAAGCGTACTTGATACGGTCGGTAAACCGGTTAGACCTGGCATCCTTTTGGCTTCATGCGTTCATTCTGGTTATGACATCATTATTACTGCCATTCAGGAAAAGTTTAAACAGAAAAGATTATTGATTTTATTTGGGGGAATTGTTGTAGTTAATTATGCGTCCCGCAGCGAGGACCAGATTAGAAGTTTACAGATGTGGTCATGTTTTTGTTTACAGGTTCTGATAAATAAATAGGCCCGTTTTCAGGATCCGAGTCGCATCCAGAGTTGAATCAGGCGTCACCTTCTCGAGCGTCATTTAGGGTTGTTGTTAGCCGTCAGTGCTACTCATCCAGCATGGTTTAGTTTTAACGCTGCTGCTGCTTCAACCACTGAATCAGGTGTGCAGGAGCAGAGAAACCACTAAAACGTGCTTCTTACCGGCCCTGCTGTACACTACTTACAGGTGCCGGTCATAAAAGTAGAATATCGTGACACGTAGGGATGAGTATTGGTGAAATTCTGGCGATACAATACGTATTACGATACAGGGGAGACGATACAATATATCACGATATATTGCGATACATTCAGTCAGACGATTTTGGCGATTTTTTAGACTAAATTTATTATAGGAAAATTCAATAAACAGTCCAAACTGATACTTAACATGTTTAACCGTAACAGAGGGATTTGCATTTCAATGGTAGAAACAAAACCCATTACACACTGCTGCCAACTAGTGGTCAGCGTTTGAATTGCACCACAAGAAATGAAAATACACAAATGTTTCCATTAGGGCTGCAACAACGAATCGATAAATTCGATGAAAATCGATTACTAAAAGCGTTGGCAACGAATTGCGTCATCGATTCGTTGCGCAACTCTTCCAAAAGCCCCCTCCCCTCCTGCCCGCCGTTGCGCGCAGACCGGTGGAGAGCCGGTAGGTGTTTGTAAGAGGAACATGGCAGAAGCAGCGAGACCCCAAAAAAGTAAAAACTTCTAAAGTTTGGGAGCATTTTCAGTTAAATCAGGCGAAGACATGCAACGTTTGTAGGTCAGACTTAGTATGGCACGGGGATACTACGGAGATGATGCAGCGTCTTAAACGCAAGCATGTCAGAATCATCAGCGAGGAAGGAGAGAGCTCAGTGTCTGGGTAAGTTAAAAACTTTTCAAAAGTGATTCACCCAAGCCCCGGATTATTACACAGGCTAGACATGCCCTAAGCTCGTAAAAAAAGTCTATAAAATTGTAAGCGCGTCGCTATTAGATAGGCGGGGGGGGGGGGGGGGGGGGGGGGGGGGACTCGCGCCGCTGCGAACCGGTTCCGCCGTCACATTCCCGCAGAAACTGGTTGATCACACCGGGGCCAGACTACTAACATGTGGCTTTACAACCTCAGTGTCCTCACAAGCGAAAACACTTTTAAAAGGGAGGGAGGAGTCCTAACTGTTGCTGCAGGCGTGTTGTGTGCGTGTAGTTATATACTGGTTAACCCTTTGGTGCATAACGGTCACTACAGTGGACAGGTACTCAAAATTGTTATTTATTTGTTTTTGCTATTAAGCACAGCTGTTGAAGACTTTATTGTATTTGAGCCCCTCCATTTGGACTTCAGTAAGTCAAGCCAACATATTTCATGTTCAGAATGCACGTGGTCCACTAAGGTGGACCTGTAATAAATTATTTGTAAATTATAAAATTTTACAAAAAATATTTGTTGAAATTTGTTTCATTCACACCTAAAGATGAATGAAAAAAATTGTTAAAAAATCATGGCTGAAGATTTCATAATTCATGCATCAAAGGGTTAATATATTTTTGGGTTCAGTTGCTTTCATGTGTCCTAATGTGAGTCTATTTGGGATCACTGGAATGATCAGCAGCATCTCTTGATGTGACTTTAAGGCAGTTGCCCAGGGCATCATCACAAGGAGGATGGCATTCATTTACTTTTGTTTTATTTGGTATTTTTCAGTCATTTTTGGAAATAGTGATTAATTCACAGCCTATGTTTAATTTCATTTAAAAATTAGTTGTTTGACATCCCCAATTATAATAAATGTCTACAGATGAGATCAAACAAAACAGATGAGAATTGCTGTTTAACTTGGACCAAGCATTTTAGGTCACAGATAGGTGTAGCTTAAGGTCTCTGTCTATACACCTTATAAGACAATTTAGGTGATGGCATGTTGGTTTTCTGCTATTGAACTGTTTTCTAATAATGTTGTGTTTAAGTGAAGGAAGGAAGGAGAAAAATAACGTTTCCCTAGCAGTTTTAAAAAAATGTCCCTATGTAATCCGATTAATCGATTAATCGTGTCGAGACCCCATCCGATTAATCGATTATCCAAATAATCGTTTGTTGCATCCCTAGTTTCCATGTAAATTCTTCCAAAAATTAGATGCACGACTTGAATATCGATACATTTTTGCAAGAAAGAAATATCACAATATGTTGCGATGTTGATATTTTCGATACACAGCTTTTGAATATCGATATAATATCGCTAGGGAATATCACGATATATTGCCATAATCGACATTTTCTCACATCCCTAGGGACACGGTTATTTATGAGTATTAGATTTCTGACACAGACGTATTTATTATAACTGACAGCTAATGAAAATCCCAAATGCTGCATCTTCACATAGATCAGCCACAAGCATCATAGCTCTGATTTAATATTTATTATGTCATGCAGCTGCAGGTTGGAACTCCTCAGATCGGTGGTCCGGTCCGGTTCTGTGTCTCCCAAACAGACTGTTTATTCAGACTAAAGCCTGAGGCCCGGTATCACCCCGTCCCGATTGTCCTGGGACTCTGACCCAGGTTGTCTTTGGCAGCCGACACCAGAGGAAATGTTCGGCCTGTTTGTTTTTCTAGTAATTATCCTTAAAACAGCCTGTAAGGCAGACGGCAAACGGGCCACAGAACCGGGCCTGAGTCAACACCCCCACTCCTCTCTGTGTTAGTACTGCGAGGTGCTGCTCAGCCGTGTGAAAGTCGGGACAAAATGTTGGTTTTCCCATCCAGACCGGGCCGGCTGGAGTTCTGCTGTGTGTCACCAGGACCCCCCCCCCCCCCCCCCCCCCAGGAGACTAACTAGCATTTGGGTCAGATTTTATTATTGCTTTCATTTGTTTCCCCTAAAAGAGACTTTTCAGAGTTTTATTATCAGGCTGAATCCCATAAAAGCTCCCGAGGCTCCGTTTAAACGGGTCATCTTGGAACGTCGATGGTAGGGCGCGTCATCGTGATCAGACGAGACTTTAGCAGCAACGTTTTTATTACAGGGACCTGAAAGTTTAGCTGAGTCCCATCAGAACCTCCTCAGACTATAAATGTACCAAATCTTTATTTCCAACGCCCTCCCAGGTGTCACGTTGATCATTCCTGATTCTGCAGGAGTTTTAAACCGAGTTGGTTCAGAGAGAGTAAAGAGTTTTGACGTTTTAACGCTGGGCCTGCGAACGCAGCACCGATCTCAGCTTTTACGGTTGCATTTCCTGGGTAGGTGAGTGTTATTAAATAAAAACAGCAGAAGAGATGAAAGTAGAGAAAAACGTTTATTAGATCTGTTGGCTTTCGTGTTACGATGGGGTGGGGGAAAGTTTTGACACCATGTTGTTTTTGTCCTCCTGAGTTAGGAGAGTCAGATCAGCGTTTTTGGTAACATCGGGCCAAACGGCTGAGAGAAATAGGACTTGAGGACGTTTTTATGAAGTTTTCTGTCTGTTCTCACACCACTGCTGTAGGTCGCTACATTTTTATCATGGAGCTGCGCTCTTAGAGTAAAAACAGCTCTTTGGCCTCAAACGCAACGTTTCAGCGGAGAGGTCAGAGGTTTTGTTTTTAAATCATCTCAGGTCTGATGTAATGAATTTGTTCCAGCTTGGGGCCGAGCCTCCAGAAGGCCCAGCTGTCTGAGTGAATAAACCTGTCTGATCGTGATCTATGTCTGCAGCGCGAGCACGAGAACGCCATGGTGTGTCTGAAGAAGCAGCAGGCAGAACTGGAGGCCATGAGGCTGCGTTACCTAGCAACAGAGGAGAAGGAGGTGGTCCGACAGGACCTGAAGGAGCTGGACAGCATCAGGAATGAACTGAACAGGTGAGCAAAAGGACTGTGATGTCCAATTGTTTCTCTGCTCCAACACACCTGGTTTTAATTCATGGAGATGCAGAACAGCTGCCACTACCCAGCATGTTTTAGTGGTTTCTCTGCTTCAAAGGTGTGTTGGAGCAAAGAAACCACTAACATGTGATGGACATCTGACCTGGGCTGCCCTGGCACCAGATGTGCAGATGGAGTTGGACCATGTAGCACCTATTCAAGGCAGCCACCCCCCACTTGTTATGGGCCATTCCCATCTGTACCGGGTCGGCCCGGGCCGGGTAGCGTAGGTTGTTTACAGATCTGGGTGGCCTGGTATTTTTCCGGGCCAACCAAGGCTCATTCTCAGCCCTCTTCTCGAGGGGGTCTGCTTCAAGCCGACCAGGGCCAACACACCCACTGCTGACAGCAAATTCACACCTTCCATTAGAGCAAGCCTCTGATTGGTGGGTAGAATCAGCCCACATGGGCTCAAGGCAAGGATGTGTGGAATCAACCGGGCCAGGCTGGGGCCGACTAGGGCTACCCGGCCCGGGCCGACTCGGTACAGATGGAAATGGCCCATTAGTCTCCACAGGGAGCCTAAAGCTTGGTTTATGCTTGACTCATTTACTTCCCGCTTGGTGATGCGGCTCGCGGATGGAACGCGCTTCACAACTTGCAGCGTTTATGGTTCACCCGGCTTGGCTCTGCGGTGAGACAATATTCTCCCAAACTGTAGGGGGCAGCATGGAGCTCCAACACTACACCATAGTAGAAGTAAAAATGACTGTTGTGTACAACATGGCATTCCAGCATTTTTTAACAGCGTCCTCGTCTTTTCCGACAGTGCGAGCTATTTCTCTCCAAGAATTATTAACAACATGTTGATCACGGCGATCTTTGAGAGCTGAATCATACAAATGTCTGTATTTACAAACCTCTGCCATACTAGTTCTTGCCAGTCCGCCATGTTTTTCTGCGCCCGACCATCTGCGTGGTTAGAAAATTTCCTAGGTGCGTGGTGCGGAAATTTTGGTCCATGCAGAGGCGCGGTGGAGAGGCGTGGTTGTTAAAATGATGCAGTTTCGCCCGTGCGGACGTCGCGGAAGCGTCAAGCATAAACCAACCTTAAGTCCTCTAGACCAGCGGTTCCCAGAAGAACGAATAAACGAATGCAAGTCAACGGGGCTAAAAACGCTATTTTCTAGTTCAGCTTGTTTTGTGCCATGGATTTCAGAGACATTTTAATACCAAGAACGAACGAGGGGAAACGTTATTTTAGGTTTTTGTTAAAACAAGTCCAGGACTACAAATGTGCATTACCGAAGTGACGTCTCCAAAACGGGCATAATGGCTGTAAGTTCAGCAAACTAGAAATCCTTCCTCCTGAAGGAAAGAACCACCGTAACTGGTCATGTGGTGAGTAGCAGCTATGCTAGGGGAGTAGTGGTGTTACATATGCGGCGTACCGACATGTAGTGTGTAGGCATGCTGATAAATCTTTAAGTACGTGACTGGCGTGTTCGACACACACATCATTACTTTTCATTTAAACTGCAGTACCTGTGTGTGATCCAGCGCGTGAGGCAAAGCAGATTAAAAGTAAATAGCTCTTTTAGCCCCGTTGACTTGCATCTGTTTATTCGTTCTTCTGGGGACCCATGAGCCGACCGGAAAGAGAGGGGACTTAGGCTCCCTGTACCCCAGGGTTCCCTCCTGGTCTACAAAACCCATCCTGTTTCTCAACGGCAGAGAGACGGGGCTATCCAGCTCAAAAATAACCAATCAGAAAAAGGACGGAAATGCTGACTGTACCGCACAGCACTGTAGCAAGAAAATACGTCTGGCGACGGCACAAACATCTTTCTTTAGCAGAAAGGCTTTCAGCGTTTCTACTTGTTGTTTTAAAGATGTCCAAGTCATTTAGAACAAAGAGCCGCAGCGAACTCCGCTTCAGACGCCCTGTTTATGACAAACTGTGGTGTGTGATATACGCTGCTCAGCGCTGATTGGCTCGGTTAGAATTCTCAGGGGGTGGGGCTATTTGAATAAGACAGTTTCCAGACTCTTTCTCAGTGCAGAATTGAACAGAGGAGGCGTCTGGCCGGTCAGGTTAACTGTTGTCATGAGGGTTCTTGGTCTCGCCTCATCACTATGAGAGAACAGTTCAGTTAAAGTCTAACCTTCTTTACTTACAGGTTAAAAAAGCAGGAAGAAAGCTCAGGCCCCGCCCCTTCTCCACCTGACCACGCCCACGGCTCAGCTCTAAACGAGAGCGCTGAGGAACACCTGAGTCGTCTGCTGGAGGAGAGGGATACGCTGCTGAGGACGGGCGTCTACACCAACGAGGACCGGATCATCACTGAGCTGAACAGACAGATACAGGAGACCATGAGGGACAAAATACCGTGAAGGTGCTTCATCGAATAGAGGCAACAAGACACTGTTGGATGGGTCGGGAACCCCCTCCCACCATCACATAAATCACCAGTCTTGAGTTTCATCTGAAAGACAAAATAAACTCTAATCCCTGTGGTTTTTTCATCCCGATGATGTGTTCAGGGACACTCCGACTTTTACAGTGCTGAGGTTTCCTTCGTCCACGTTGTGTTTGTGTCTCAAACGGCTACAGCTGATCAGGTCTGACAGCAGGTGGCGTTGCAGCCTCAGCACATTAATGCACTTCTGCTTTAGTAAACAAACATTTATTTATTTTAGAAATCTAGTTTTAATAAATGTTTACATTTAGTCATTTCAGTCTCTTCATTGTTCACGAGCCCTAAAACGAACCAACCTATAGGTCAGTAAACGCTGCATGTTTAACGTAACAAAGGTTTGACCTGACTTATCCTGAGGGGGAGGACGGCGCTCCGTTCTTTCTCTTTATCAGCAGAGTTTCTGTTGCAACTCGTAAAACTCACTCTGACCGATAACCGACCAGAACCAGCGATTAAGAATGTAACACACAAAAGCTTCTGATCAGACTAGCACCTGGTCTTCACCAGCTCCGGAGCATACAGGCGTGTGTCAACAAGAGGAGGTAAAGCGGCTGTGCCTGGGAGGGGTCAAAGGTCATTTACAGACTAGGGAGAAAGTTGAAAACATTTCTGATAGCTGCTGATTTTCAGGAGTGGACGTCGACGCTGACAACTATAGTACACGTCTGAGATTCTAAAGGCTCCGTTAGGTTAAAGGTCAGAGTTCATGACGGGACAGTCCGTCAAAGACTGAGCAGCATTTGAAGGTTGCAGGAGAAAGTTCCCCTTGGCAGCCCGACGGTCTGAACCAGGTCATGGTACAGAACTATTGATTCTTAAGCAGCTCCGTGAGCCGAATCAGGATCTTGAAACAGAACCAGAACACACATACTCACCCTGAGTCAGAGGAACAGGTTCGATGAGTCCAGATTCCTGAAATAAACAAAAATAAAAACATCAGGAAAAGTTTTAGATCAAACCAAAATTACAAAACTCAATCCTACCTCAAACCGAATCCATCGGAACCGTATCTTCTCCGCTTTGCTGGAAGCTTCAAGGACGACAAACTTATTTATTTTTTGTTATTTAATTTTACATAAAACTGAAACTGATCCATTATCAGTTCTGCAGGTTAAATGATGTTGAGCTTTAATCAGGTTTGTTTTCTCTGTAAAGAAGCTGCAGGCTCCACAAAATCTCCCACAATCCTTCAGGGGGCGGCTTGATTTTATCCGACAGTTGAGGACAAAACGGAAATTCAAAACGACTCAGAAAAACAATGCATTAAGAACTAAGATGCAGCTAATTTTAGCCACAACTAGCTTCTCATAACAATAAGATTGGATGTGTGGAATTTTTGGAGTCCCTGGGACGAGTGCTAGATAGTGCTCCATCAGGGGACTCCATTGTCCTGCTGGGGGACTTCAATGCTCACGTGGGCAATGACAGCTTGACCTGGAGGGGTGTGATTGGGAGGAACGGCCCACCTGATCAGAACTCGAGCGGTGTTTTGTTATTGGACTTCTGTGCAAGCCGCAGTTTGGCCATAACGAACACCATGTTCAAACATAAGGATGCCCACCGGTACACTTGGTACCAGGGCAGCCTAGGTCACAGGTCGATGATAGATTTTGTAGTCGTATCATCTGACCTGCGGCCGTATGTTTTGGACACCCGAGTGAAGAGAGGGGCGGAGCTGTCAACTGATCACCACCTGGTGGTGAGTTGGATCAGATGGCAAGGGAACATGCCGCGTAGACCTGGCAGACCCAAACGCATAGTGAGGGTCTGCTGGGAACGCCTGGCAGAAGAACCTGTCAAGACGGTCTTCAACTCCCACCTCCGGCAGAGCTTTGACCACGTCCCGAGAGCAGTGGGGGACATTGAGTCCGAGTGGGCCTTGTTCCACTCTGCGATTGTCGAGGCGGCTGTTGCTAGCTGTGGTCGTAAGGTGGCCGGTGCCAGTCGTGGTGGCAACCCCCGTACCCGCTGGTGGACACCAGAGGTTCGGGGAGCCGTCAGGCTGAAGAAGGAGGCCTACAGGGCGTGGCTGGTCTGTGGGTCTCCGGAGGCAGCAGACAGGTACCGGATAGCCAAGCGGGGTGCAGCAGTGGCAGTTGCCGAGGCAAAATCTCGGGCGTGGGAGGAGTTTGGTGAGGCCATGGAGAAAGACTATCGATCGGCTCCAAAGAGGTTCTGGCAAACTGTCCGGCGCCTCAGGAGAGGAAGGCAGCAACTCGCTCACACTGTTTACAGTGGGGATGGGGAGCTGCTGACGTCAACTGAGGCTATAGTCGGACGGTGGAAGGAATACTTTGAGGAGCTCCTCAATCCCACCAATGCGCATTCCGAGGAGGAACCAGAGCTGGGAGGCCTGGGGATGGACTGTCCGATCTCGGGGGCAGAAGTTGCTGAGGTAGTCAAACAACTACACAGCGGCGGAGCCCCGGGGGCGGATGAGGTTCGTCCTGGGTATCTCAAGGCTATGGATGTTGTAGGGCTGTCATGGTTGACACGTCTCTACAACATTGCGTGGTCATCGGGGGCAGTTCCTAGGGAGTGGCAGACCGGGGTGGTGGTCCCCATCTTTAAGAAGGGTGACCTGAGGGTGTGTTCCAACTATAGGGGGATCACACTCCTCAGCCTCCCTGGAAAGGTCTACGCCAAGGTACTGGAGAGGAGGGTCCGATCGATAGTTGAATCTCAGATAGAGGAGGAGCAATGTGGTTTTCGTCCTGGCCGTGGAACTGTGGACCAGCTCTATACCCTTGCAAGGGTGATGGAGGGGGCATGGGAGTTTGCCCAACCAATCCACATGTGCTTTGTGGATTTGGAGAAGGCTTATGACCGTGTCCCCAGGGGCACCCTGTGGGGGACGCTCCAGGAGTATGGGGTGGGTGGCTTTCTGTTAAGGGCCATTCAGTCCCTTTACCAGAGGAGCGTGAGTTTGGTCCGCATAGCCGGTAGTAAGTCGGACCTGTTCCCAGTGAGGGTTGGACTCCGCCAGGGCTGCCCTTTGTCACCGGTTCTGTTCATCACTTTTATGGACAGAATTTCTAGACGCAGCCGTGGTGTGGAGTGTGTCGAGTTTGGTGGCAGGAGAATCTCGTCTCTGCTTTTTGCGGATGATGTGGTCCTCCTAGCTTCATCCAGCTCTGACCTTCAGCTCTTGCTGGGTAGGTTCGCGGCCGAATGTGAAGCGGCTGGGATGAGGATCAGCACCTCCAAATCTGAGACCATGGTTCTCGACCGGAAAAGGGTGGCTTGCCACCTCCGGGTCGGGGGAGAGGTCCTACCTCAAGTGGAGGAGTTTAAGTATCTCGGGGTCTTGTTCACGAGTGAGGGTAGGAGGGATCGGGAGATCGACAGGCGGATTGGTTCGGCGTCTGCAGTGATGCGGACGCTGAGCCGATCTGTCGTGGGGAAGAGGGAGCTGAGCCAGAAAGCCAGGCTCTCGATTTACCGGTCGATCTACGTCCCAATCCTCACCTATGGTCATGAGCTTTGGGTAATGACCGAAAGAACGAGATCGCGGATACAAGCGGCCGAAATGAGTTTCCTCCGTAGGGTGGCCGGGCTCAGCCTTAGAGATAGGGTGAGGAGCTCGGACATTCGGGAGGGACTCGGAGTAGAACCGCTGCTCCTCCGGATCGAAAGGAGCCAGTTGAGGTGGTTTGGGCATCTGGTCAGGATGCCTCCTGGACGCCTCCCCGGGGAGGTGTTTCGGGCATGTCCTGCCGGCAGAAGGCCCCCGGGTCGACCCAGGACACGTTGGAGAAGTTACATCTCCAATCTGGTCCGGGAACGCCTTGGGGTCCTGCCGGAGGAGCTGGTGGACAAGGCCGGGGAGAGGACGGCCTGGAGCTCCCTAGTTGGGATGCTGCCCCCGCGACCCGGACCCGGATAAGCGGAGGAAGACGACGACGACGACGACGACGACGACGAGGTCTGAGGTCAAAGTGCTCCATCAGTGGAAACACCCTGTAAGCCTCTAAATATTTAAGTTTAGCTTAGATTTATATAATATTTAATTAAAGCTGCAAGCAGCGTCGTGCGGCCCTCACAGCTCACAGTCTCCTCATCCGCACCTCACCCTGACTCAGCATCCCCTCTGAGCCCACCAATGTTGACTAAATTAGAGGGGACAAATATGGGCGTTTCACCATAAAACAATAGACTTCCTGTTGTCAGGGGGCGGGGCTTAGTTGATGTCAGCTGTCCACATTGTCATTGCCTTAAGATGTGGTCAGTGATCACTCAGACAAAGTTTGATTTATATCTGATCATGCACATGGGAGTTTTTACGTCAAGTAATTTAATGGTGAAAGTTCAAAGTTTGAGGCTTAGCCACGCCCAAAACTTTCAACTTTTGAAAAATCCAACAGTTGAATTTTTTCCCCCTATGTCTTAAGAGTATATAGCAGAAGTTTGAAGGCGATTGGTGAAAAGGGCGATGGGGCATCACTCTCAAAGCAACATGTGCGAAAACCACTAAATTGAGTACTTGGACCAAAATGGCCGACTTCCTGTGCGACATTGACCTTGGCTCCAAGAGATCTTTTAGTAGGTCCCAAGGCACTACATTAGTGTACCAAATTTCGTAGTTCTCAGAGAAAGCACGGCTTGGGGCTGACAGTTTGAATGGCCCTAGGGGGCGCTATTTCAGAAAAAAGGCCACGCCCACAAGCCTGTCATGTCCATTTTTATTGGTGGTCAGACTAGGATCACTCATCAGAGATTTCGTAGCGATATTACAATAACTGAGGAAATGAGAGGCAAACGTATTTCCATGGCGTGATGGCGAATTTCGCCATGCCCCCAAAGCCCCGCTTTTTTTCGAAACCTGCCAGTACTGGAGACCAAGTGACCACAAGTTGTCTACTGCTATTTGCCAGATTGCTGGTGATTGGGTGAAAGGAGTCCAATAGGGAGCTGTGAAAGTGTGGCGTGGCAACAGGTCAAAGTTTGAGGCTTAGCCACGCCCACACCTTTCAACTTTTGAAAAATCAGACAGTTGAATTTTTCCCCTAAGAGTATATAGCAGAAGTTTGAAGGTGATCGGTGAAAAGGACGACGGCGCATCATTCTCCAAAGAACGTGTGTGAAAACTACTAAATCAAGTTCTTGGACCAAAATGGCCTACCTCCTGTACGACTTTGCACTTGGCTCCAAGAGACTTTTTTGTAGGTCCTGAGACACTACATTAGTGTACCAAATTTCGTAATCCTCAGTCAAAGCATGGCTTGGGGCTGACAGTTTTAATGGTCCTAGGGGGCGCTATTTTAAAAAAAAGGCCACGCCCACTGGATTTTCACATCAGTTTTTTTTGGGGGGGGGGGGGGGGGACTAGGATCGCTCACCAGAAGTTTTGTGGCGATAGCTTTAGAAATGACGAAATGGGAGTCACGTATGGCCACGGCGGTACGCCTGACTTCGCTGCGCTGCCACAGCCCCGCCCTCTTTTGAAAACTCCCATAAAGTGACTCCAAGCAACCCCCACTTGTCTTGAGTTACCAGCTACAAATTTGTGATGATTAAGTGAAATGTGGCGATTTGGTTCCTATCACAGTAAAACATGAACTTTTTGGTCCTGAGGGGCTTGTGTGATGTCATCATCCAACTATTTTTATTTGGGGCCAGATGCCGAATGACCGTAGGAGGTTTTGTAACTCTACTCTATTTGGTTATGAAGTTATAGCCATTTATATTTTTTGGGCGAGTAGTCAAACTTCGAGGCCCGGCCCCGCCCCCTCAGCATATACGAAAAAGTCGGTTTAATTTTTTCTATTTGATTGGTGCTGAGTTGTTTACTTGCACTCCAAATAAGTTCATGTATTTATGTTAGTTTATTTTGTTATCATTTGTCAAAAGTTCATTGCTCTGCTGATTTGCTTTACCTGTTGTGACAACCAATGACATTGCTTTCAGCACTGCATAAAAGACGTGACTGAAATAATAAACTCCACTCCTCTTGTGAGCTGTCCGTATGATTTGTTTTTCTCCGTCAACCCCGATGACAACCTGGGAATGTTGAGCTCTGCTAACAATTGGCCATCCCTTCTGATCAATTTCACACACATCGAGACGATCGTGTGAAAAATGATAGAGTAAATCAATCAGAAGTGGACCCTAAAAGCAGCCAAAACGGGTAAAAATCGCCATTTCAACCCAAAATGGCCGACTTCCTGTTTGATGTTGACCATGGTTGCAAGAGGCTTTTCTGTGCGGACTGTTGAGTACTACCAAGTGTAAAAATTTCATAACTACGACAAACTAAGGTTTATGGAGGGGGTATTTTTCACATTCTAGGGGGCGCTGTGGAGCTAGTTTAATTGCGATTTTTTGGGACCTTTAAAATACAAACTTTTACACCAAGCCTGACGTGTGCAAAAATTCCTGAGTTTTCGGGTATGCTAAGGCCTCCAAAAAGTCAATTTACTTGGCGGAAGAAAAATAAACAGCATATACAATAGGCCTTCGCAGCGCTTTCCCTGCTCGGGCCTAATTAGACATTCAGATGTTGTTATATATATATATATGTATGTATGTACAGTGGGGGGGAAAAGTATTCAGTCAGCCACCGATTGTGCCAGTTCTCCCACTTAAAATGATGACAGAGGTCAGTAATTTACATCATAGGTACACTTCAACTGTGGGAGACGGAATGTGAAAAAAAATCCATGAATTCACATGGCAGGATTTTTAAAGAATTTATTTGTAAATCAGGGTGGAAAATAAGTATTTGGTCACTTCAAACAAGGAAAATCTCTGGCTCTCACAGACCTGTAACGTCTTCTTTAAGAAGCTTTTCTTTCCTCCACTTGTTACCTGTATTAATGGCACCTGTTTGAACACATTATCTGTATAAAAGACACCTGTCCACAGCCTCAAACAGTCAGACTCCAAACTCCACTATGGCCAAGACCAAAGAGCTTTCGAAGGACACCAGGAAAAGAATTGTAGACCTGCACCAGACTGGGAAGAGTGAATCTACAATAGGCAAGCAGCTTGGTGTGAAAAAATCAGCTGTGGGAGCAATTATCAGAAAATGGAAGACATACAAGACCACTGATAATCTCCCTCGATCTGGGGCTCCAAGCAAGATCTCATCCCGTGGGGTCAAAATGATCTTGAGAACGGTGAGCAAGAATCCCAGAACCACACGGGGGGACCTGGTGAATGACCTGCAGAGAGCTGGGACCACAGTAACAAAGGTCACCATCAGTAACACACTACAACGGCAGGGAATCAAATCCTGCAGTGCCAGACGTGTTCCGCTGCTGAAGCCAGTGCATGTCCAGGCCCATCTGAAGTTTGCCAGAGAGCACATGGATGATACAGCAGAGGATTGGGAGACTGTCATGTGGTCAGATGAAACCAAAGTAGAACTTTTTGGTATAAACTCAACTCGTCGTGTTTGGAGGAAGAAGAATACTGAGTTGCATCCCAAGAACACCACACCTACTGTGAAGCATGGGGGTGGGAACATCATGCTTTGGGGCTGTTTTCCTGCTAAGGGGACAGGACGACTGATCCGTGTTAAGGACAGAATGAATGGGGCCATGTATCGTGAGATTCTGAGCCAAAACCTCCTTCCATCAGTGAGAGCTTTGAAGATGAAACATGGCTGGGTCTTCCAACACGACAAAGATCCCAAACACACCGCCCGGGCAACAAAGGAGTGGCTCCGTAAGAAGCATTTTAAAGTCCTGGAGTGGCCTAGCCAGTCTCCAGACCTCAACCCATAGAAAATCTGTGGAGGGAGTTGAAAGTCTGTGTTGCTCGGCGACAGCCCCAAAACATCACTGCTCTCGAGAAGATCTGCATGGAGGAATGGGCCAAAATACCAGCTACTGTGTGTGCAAACCTGGTAAAAACCTATAGCAATCGTTTGACCTCTGTTATTGCCAACAAAGGTTATGTTACAAAGTATTGAGTTGCATTTTTGTTATTGACCAAATACTTATTTTCCACCCTGATTTACAAATAAATTCTTTAAAAATCTTGCCATGTGAATTCATGGATTTTTTTTTTCACATTCTGTCTCTCACAGTTGAAGTGTACCTATGATGAAAATTACTGACCTCTGTCATCATTTTAAGTGGGAGAACTTGCACAATCGGTGGCTGACTAAATACTTATTTGCCCCACTGTATATATATGTATATGTATATATATGTATGTATATATTTTATGTATACATATGTGTATATATATATGTATATATATATACATATGTGTATATATATATATGTATATATATATATACATATGTGTATATATATATATATATATATATACATATGTGTGTATATATGTATATATATTAATGTATATGTGTATATGCATATACATATGGATATATATATATATCTTTTTTCTCTAAAAATATTTATTCAAACAAATAAATGGGGTGTATTTAATATTTTTTTATTTAGTTCTATTTAATAAAACTGAACATTTCTGCCTGTTTTTCTTCTCGTAAACCAACTTCTAATGAAAACTCACAGCTCTAATCTCATTACATGAGATCTAATCTGCATCTGCTGACATTTAAAGAAAAAAGTTAGTAAAAACTCCTGAAACCTGTTGCTGTGGGTTTGGATCCGGTTCCCACGGTGAAAAAACGTCTGTGATGGATGTCTGAAAGCTCCGACTGTTTGTTTTTGGTGAATTTGTTGAATCCTCGCAGGAATAATCTCTGAAATCAGATGGAAAGGGAAAATCTGGAGCGAGCTGAGGTCGAACTCTAACTGCTGCAGATTGTTAGCAGTAAGTAGAGGCAGCTGGTCGCCGGGCAGATTACAGAAAAAACAACTAAAAACTCCAAACTCAGGCAGGATTTGATCATTTAAAATGCTAAAAATCTTCCTTCAGCTAAAACTGAACTTGGGCCGACCTCAGGGGTCATTATTCCTGGAAATTACACGTATGGTTTAATTTTAGTGCAACAGCACGACTACAGGGAATAAAGCTTACAAGCTGAGTCATTTTACGGTTTAAAGAAGGCAGCAGAAAAAGTTGGTTTCTGATAAGAATCCAAACTGGATTTCTGTTTTATTTCCAGTGGAACAAAATCTTCCTGCTTTTGGAGCTCAGTCTGTCCGATTGTTTAATTTAAAAAAAAAACAGATTTAGGAAATCATGCAAACAAGATCACATTAAAATAGACCAATAAAACACCTCGACCTGCCATCAGCGGGTCAGTGAGCAGGTTTCACTTCACTGTAAAAGAATTCTGTTTGTTTTATAAACGGGTCAGGACCCAACCCCCCGCACCAATGGTATTTACATCATCAGCTCATCTGAATCCACAAACTGGAACAATCTGTAAAGAGTTCAATAAGCTCCTGGATTTTCTAAATAAAATGAAATTCACACCTAGACTAAATGTTTTGTCCAACTTCAGATATTTGTCACGTTTTAAGAGGAGATCGAACCCACAAGAATCTAATCCGAGTCTCTGAAACTCAAATGGTTTATTTTCCTCACGCTGCTGATTGTTTCTCTCAGCAGGTAAAAACTCAGAAACCTGAAACCCGTAGACATCTCCACAGCAACTGGTTCAGGTGCTGGACCTTAAACCTGCTTCCTCAGCGAGTCGACAGCAATCGGAGAAGCGAAATTATTATAAGTTTTATCTTTGGTTGGCTCAATTAGGGATGATGATGTCGCTGCGGAAAAGTTCTTGTTGCAATTTAGTCGCCAAAATGTCTCAACTGCCACTTCAATTGTTCTTAGTTTGGTCTCAAAGTCGAGGTTTCGTAGAATGTATGCTTTTGACAAATGTGCGCACGAATGTGCGATGAGCCGCCGGTGGAATTCTCCGGTGGTTCTAAACAACGCTGCAGGAATTCACCTGGAATGTCTGCAAACATTCAGGCCCTGTACACACGTACCCGGGTATCCCAAAAAACAAAGATATTTTTATGATTTGGCAAGTGACATCTACATCCAAGTGAAAATGTCCGGCACCAAAATCGACTTTTTCAAAACCGTTAAAACCATTAGTCTTTATGAATTCTCCTCAGTCAACATGCTTGTAAATAACTGGGATTTTAGGTTTCGGTTGTTTTTCCCAAGCTCAGTAACTGCTCTATGTGAAACCCCACAGGGACGGTTGTACCCACCCACCACCTCATTATTCCACGCCCAAGGAACGTTTTTCGTCGATGACGCTGACGATTTAGGGAACTACCGCCACTTACAAGCTTGGTATGATGAATGCTTTTCAAAATGTCCTGGATTTTTTTCTTGCTGGAAACGAGGTGGTGTGGACCCAAGTTACTTTCCTAGATGGGCGGGGGAGGAGCTTTGGTTTTACAAAAACCCGGCTGCTTGCATAAACTAAGAATCTTTGGTAATTGCGACCATCATAAAACAGTAGAGGTGGGAAAAATGATCGATTCTAAGATGCATCGCCATTCAGCCGTGCATGATTCTGCATCGATGCAGCAACGTGACAAAATGAAATTTTCTCTCCATGTCTATGTCTATGTTGTTTATGTTCTGGATGCGCGAGGACAATAAAGTTTTGAGTTTTTACAACTGCTTCTGGGGGCTGAGTTGCAATGACATGCGCACTGCGTTGCCCTAGCGTCAATTTAAAACAAATGGCGGACAGGGATACAGGGCGAACATTACCAGTAATCAAAGAAGCACCCGTTACATTTAAATCAGATGTCTGGGCTAATTTCGGTTTTGGGATCCTGGATGTGAAAGAATCACTTAACACAGTCTTTGTTTACTATTTTTAAGTTCAGTAGTATTCTACCTAAAGGCTGCTCTACCGAAAACATTATTTCTTATATTATTTAAGTAATTATAGGCAGCACACTTTAAAAATTGTTGCTGACTATAGTGAATAGATGTATGTTCTGTTTTTCAGAGATATCGAAATAAAAAATAAATTGAAAACTATTCTACTGCTTTTATTAAGTAATGAAAAATTTTGTGTGAAGAATCGTGATGCATTTCAGACTCAAATAGAATCTTTAGGCAGATAATCAGAATCGGATCGAAATGTGAGGCAGGTAGAGATGTACACCACTATTAAACAGACGTGCATTTGTTGTGAAGGCGCAGCAACAATTTAAACTGCTGGACAAAACAAAAAGTCATCTTTTTTAATTCTTCCAGAGGTTTTGGGACCCTCAGCTTCCAGACGGCGCTGGTCTTTGGATGTAAGAAGTTAATTTTTAATTCATTAACGGTTTAAAGTTTTTTGTTTTTAACTTTCAGGCACAAAACCCTTTTTGGTTTAACGAATGTTTGCACCCCGGCTGATACAAAGTGAGTCTCCAGGACTTTTTACACATCTGAGGTTTCCGGGGGACAAACCTAAACCGGCTTCGGGTTACAAATAAACTCTCAAACAACATTTCTCCAGCCTTAAAGTACTTGGTTTGTTCGTCCTTTGGACGCTGAGAGGAGAACTTTCATGAATAAAACAGGAACAGGAACAGTTCCTGTTTCCCGGCCTCGTTCCCACCGGAGTCCGGTTATAGGGAGCCTAAGTCTCCTCCCTTTCCGGTTGGCTCATGGGTCCCTGAAAAGAGCTATTTTCTAACCCGCTTTGCCTTACGCTCTTGATCACACATATGTTGTACTGCAATTTAAATGAAAAGTAATGATGGGTGTTTCGACCACGCCAGTCACGTACTTTGAGATTCATCAGCTTGTAAAAGTTCGTAATTAGCATGACTACCAACTAGAAATCGGCACGTTGCATATGTGACGTCACCACATAATCTCCTCATGACCAGAATCACCACATGACCAGATTTATGGTGGTTCTTTCCTCCTGTGTGACGTTTGCTGAACTTACAGCCATTTTCCCTCAGTTTTCTCCGTGTCTGGTTCGATGACATCACTTTCGTAAAGCACATTTGTTGTCCTGGACTTATTTTTACACAACACCTAAAATATCGTTTCCCCCTGTTCAAAAATAAGCTCGTTCTTGGTACCAAAATGTCTCTTTAAAATTCACGGACATCACATGTGAAATCCATGGCACAAAACGAGCGGAATTAGAAAATAGCATTTTTAGCCCCGTTGACTTGCATTCATTTTTTCGTTCTTCCGGGGACCCGTGGTCCGGAAGTAGATGGGCGTGACTTAGACTCCCTGTTTCTATAAGAGACTCTTCTGGGGTTATTTTTTTCATTAGAGTTGCAAAAAATCTACCAGCCAAACCAAAGTGCTGCAGCATGACATGAAGATAAATATAATTTATGTTCTAGTCTTTTTCTACGATGCATAAAGTCGTGTTGGTTCTGCTCCTTGGGTACGTTTGCTTTGTTTCCTCCTTTGGCTTCGATGCTTTCAAGAAAAATAAAGAAATCCAGAGAAGTTTTAGTTTTTCAGAAAGTTTGTCCCAGCTTTTTTTTTTTTTTACAAAGTTCTCTTCGTAATGAAACACGTCAGGATTCCCAAAAGTCTTTTTAAATATCCGCATCCATAACGGTTCCGTTTGGTCTGGAGTTTCGGGTCTCCGTGGAAACAGAATCTTTGGTTTGGTTGGATCAGAATTCCTTCCAGCAGGTGGATTTAGTTCGGATTTCTCTCTACATTCACACTAAGCCAGATAAACATTTAACCTGAATAAAATAATTTTACCTCAGATTTTAGTTTTAATTAATTTGCTTTAATTAATCAGTTTTTCATTATACATTATAAACAGCAGCAAATGTTCCTAAAACACAAATAACTGGATTTTAATGATCATTTCATTTCCTAATTAAGGATTAAAACTTAAAACTGTCTGAGGAGGTTTTTTTTTAATAAATGAAAAAGAAAATGTTATATTGATAAAAAAGTTATCGGTGAAAGTTTGTGTCGCAATGAGAAAAATTAAAACTTGTAATTAAACCACCTATATTATTATAATCATCATTTTGGGGAAGAATTTTTTCTAATTTCTAATTTAATAATGTTTCAAATTGATTCTTTAAATTTCAAAGAACGTTTGGATTTTTTGAAATTATTAAATGGCTAAATATATTTTCCATTTTTAAACAATTAAAAGTTTAAAAAATAAAGATTTTTTAATGAGGTTGTTTCAACTCCAAATAACTAGATAAAATAAAAAATGTTCATTAATCCGAAGATCAGAAGGCTGAACGAAATTAAACTTGGTGCTACATGTAAACGCCGAGTCACCGTTTATAAACCAGTATTATTCTGATTTTAGCCTGAACACCCTCCAAGTGTTTGGGTGAGATTTATTTAGGGTCAGAGGTCATTTTTAACAATTTACATCAAAGACCTCAGAGTTTTTGGTTTCAGAATAAAACAACTTAGTTTTACCTTTACAGCTCGAAGCAAAATGAATTCTGGGCAAAAACCTGAACATCATCAGCGTAAAGATGTTGGCTTAGTGTGGAGGAAGAGGACAACAGAGACAAAAATGTTTAAAGGTATCTGACTTAATGCTGGGCTCCGTGGCTGAAAGGTCAAAGGTTAATCCACCTCGATGGACTCGCTGCTCTCATTCACTGGTTTGCACTCGTTGGGAAGTCGCTGGTGGCGGCTGAGCTGGGTTGCCTGAGTGAAGCTTCGGTCGCAGCGCTCGCACCTGGTACGTGCACACACACACACACACACACACACACACACACACACACACACACACACACACACACACACACACACACACACACACACACACACACACACCTGGTTAGTTTAGTAGCTTAAAGGTGACGAAGCGCAGAAGATGTCCTAAAATCAAACTTCAAGAAGACTCAAATCAGTTTGTGACAAACTTTTGGAGAAATTCTTAAACTTAGCAGCTTCAGAAAAAACCTTTAGCTTTTCAGGTTAAATAATAAAATCTGGATTTCTGAGGTTTGATGGTGAGATCAGAGCTTTGTTAAAGCCAACTAGTTCTCTGTCCTTCTGTAGGGTTGCTGGTGTCTCCATAGACATGAATTTGTGAACGCTCCATTGGACTCTGGAGAGCGCTTGCTAGGGTTATGTGTATTGGTGAACTTTTGGCGATACGATACATATCACGATACAAGGGAGACGATACGATGTATATATTGCGATACATTCAACCAGACATTAATAGCGATTTTTTTTGGACTGAATTTATTGTAGGGAAATTCAATAAACAGTCCAAACTGATACTTAACATGTTTAACATGAGTTATATGAACCATGATAGAGGTGTTTACATTTAAATGGTGGAGACAAAACCCACTGCACTGCTGCCAACTGGCGGTCGACGTTTGAATTGCACCAAAAGAAAGGAAAACTCAAATGTGTGCGTGTAAATTCTTCCAAAAATTTGATACACAGCTTTTGAATACTGATATAATATCGCAGGAAAAAAATATCACAATATATTGTGATATCAATATTACATCCCTAGACGCCACCATATTGGATCGGTCTCCTCACTCCATCCTTAATCAAAGCAGAGTGAGCCGGGTAGCGTGGTGTTGAAAACGGATCACGTGGGATTACTATTGACTTTTCTAGCCTACCTGATAGGATTTCATATTTTACTAGAATTCACTTGGTTTTTTTATTTTTATATTTTATAAATCATGGCATACCATGCATCTAATTTTGTGAAAAATCTTGATGAAATGTGTTCTTTAGTTGGGTAAGGACCTTCCTCAGGAGAAATAAATGTGCTGGGGGTGAAGGGAGACCCATCTAAGATGGCGGCCAGCCACTACGGCAACGCCAGTCCACGGGGCGTCTACGTATACATCTGTAGATGTTGCTGGGCTTCACCCTCCACCGTGGTTCTGATTGGATCTCCTCACACCAGAAGGGAAACGTGAAATCAAGTCCAGTTGCTTTTGTGACCCAATCAGGATAAGTGGGAGTTCTAGCGGGAAGTCCAGGATGAGCAGGGAACTTCAGCTCAAAGATCCGTAAATTTATATAAAGTTATGTTATTATTTAAATAAATATTTCTTCTTAATGGCGTTAGCAAGCCTGACTGGCTGTAAAGCAGCACTAAATACTTTAAGCTATAGATTTGAAACTGGTTTCAGTTCTTCTTGAGCCAGAAACTTGATCAGCTTCACATCTCACAACGACCTGTAGCCCTCTGCTAACCAGAAACCACACTTAGCCGTTTTGTGGGACGAGTAGGTACGCTAGTGGGAGGTCTCTACATCTGTGTGCTGTTAACTATATATAGAAGCTAGCAGTTAGCTTAGCAGTTCACCAACCATCAGTAAAAAGCAGAAATTGAAGAACAAGTAGCTGAAGAAGAATTTAGCTTCAGAGGCATCATAATGGTGACCTGGCTCTGTTGCTTTATTTTAGTATCAGTTAGCGTGTGTTAGCATTAGCTCATGTTAGCGGTAGCTACAGGAGGCTGCGGATGATTATGACAGTTGTAATTCTACTTTCAACCAGTAGGAGGGAGAAGCAGAAAACTTAGTTTTATTTTATTTACACAAACATATTGTTTATTTATGTTTACTGTTCTGAATTCTAAAATCAAACATATCATCAGCAAACCTGAGCGTTATCGCCGCTGAAACTAAAACTCCGCCATGAAGGGATTAGTGAGATGAAAAGTATGTTTGTGAGGGATCCATGTCAGTGAGGATGAAGTGTTAAACATTAAACATGTGTGTGTGTTTGTGTGTGTGTGTGTTACTCTAACATCCAGTGACAGAACAAAGTGTGTGTGAGGCCCAGCAGATCCGCAGCTGTAATTGTTGCCCTGATCTTCACAACCTGACCGACAAATTACACTCACACTCCACCTGTCAATAATCTATCCAGCGGGCCGAGGAGGGCATTCCATCTCACACACTTTAACACACACACACACACACGCGCACACGCACGCGCACACACACGCGCGCGCACACACACACACACACCCAATAGGAGAGTGTCACTGTCACTTTCAATAGGAGCAAAGAAGAGAGGCAGCTTTTGTCTGGGTGGGGGGCATTAAATGTGTGTGTGTGTGTGCACGCGTGTGTGTGTGTGTGTGTGTGTGTGTGTGATGGCTTCAAAGGTGAAAACGAGTTATTGGACTCAACAGCCCAGAAACAGGACTAACCTGCTGCTAGATGGATTGGGGTGGGTTTGAGAAGGTGTGTGTGTGTGTGTGTGTGTGTGTGTGCGCGCGTGCGTGCGTGCGTGCGTGCGTGCGTGTGTGTGTGTGTGTGATATAATCATTTCAGAGTTCTGCTGCTTGAACAACACCTCCTACTTTATTAGATACACATTAATTGCACTGGGTCGGACCACCCTTTACTTCAGAACAACTTTAGTTCTTTATGTCATGGATCCCATCAGGTGTTCCTCAGAGGTTCTGGTCCATCCTAACATGACGAGTACCTCCCGCTCCACCACATCCCAAAGGTTCTGGACTAGCCTGAGATCTGGCGACTGTGGAGGCCGTTGATCCAGTGATCTCATGTTCTGTAAACCAATTAGAGATGATCCGAGCTGTGTGACATGGCGCCATGATCCTTCTGGAAGCAGCATCAGAAGATGGGTCAGGGTTAGGATGCAGCTGAAATCCAGCCTCATCAGACCAGGAGAGGTTTTCCAAGTTTCTTCTGATCCAGTCCTGGTGATCCTGTGGGAATTAAAGCCTCCGTTTCCTGCTCTTACCTTATGTGGTCTTCTGCTGCTGGAGTCCACCTGAAGCAGCTGCTGTGGTTCTGAGAGAAGTCTGGTGTTTCCATATGATCAGCTGGTCACAACCATTAAGTCCATTAATGACTTTAAGACACCAGTTTGGGTTTCAGAGATGTTGGGCTTGTGATTCTGATAAAACCTGGTTTCAAAACTTAAACTCAGGTTTACCAAGAAAACAAACGAAGCAGGAAGTCTCAGCGTGGTTCATTAACATCGTGCACGAGGAGCTCAACCTCCTCCTGCCCTAAAGGTGGACTTTCCTGCTCTTAAATTTAAAAATCTCCACATCAAAGCTCCCGTGAAGCTCCTGTCACAGACACTTATCCTGCAGGACAAACAAAGACGGTTCTCCTGCAGAACAAAGAGCGGACCTGAGCGCGGGCGGCTGCTATCGACCGGCCACGCCGCTTCCTGACTGTCTTCTCCTCAGCAGGGAAAAGTCAGGCTGAGCAGATTGTGCTGACAGGAACGCCAGAAGCTGCTTTAATCAGTTCCTCTCCAGGATCAGTGGAGTTTAAGATCACCTCTTATCTCAATCTGCTCCCAACGGGAACCAAACCAGAACCCATCGGGTCTGTTTACGGGCCGACGGAGACTGATGAGAGCGGACGGGAGCAGGGAGGCGTGGCAGCTTCGTTATCATCCCTGATCTGAGATCAGATGTTTTACAGAACATTTTCAGGGCTGGTTCTGTCTCTAATGAAGCAAAAAAAAAAAAAAAAAACACAAACTGTCCAAGTTCTGAAAGAGAAAAATCTAATAAAACTAATTAGGATAGAATAGAATCAATAATATCTCAGATTATCTAATCTAATTAACTTTACTGCACCTAAAATAATCATCCTACTAGAAGCGTTTGTTCTGAAGGGGAACCAGAAGTCCGGAGGTGCAGTGAACGCAGCTTGATGCGTCTGGATGATTCGACGGTGCGTTCCAGTTGTCCTCGGAACTCGTTCTTCCAAGATAAGTTAGCCGTAAATTACGCAATGAACTTGGAATTGTGAGCTCGTAGGTTTCAGAAGACCCTGAGATCCCAAATGCAAAGATGGCTGCGGCCAGTGCTACCAGGAAGTAGTTATCGTCTTTATTTTTGTCTGATTTATGTGTTCTGTTGTCTTTCCTGTTGCTGTTTAACAGCACCGGTAAATTGTTTGTTGTTGTTATCAAAAGTTGCGTTGCTGAAAAATTCAACATTTAATGTTTATGGTTTTTACTTTTCCTGGTGTTTATGATTTTACATTAGATCTGTATTGTTATTCTGGCTGTATGTGGCGACTGTCGAAGGGCGTGCGACGCCATCATTTACAGTCAGGTCCATAAATATTGGGACATCGACACAAGGCTAACATTTGTGGCTCTATACGCCGCCACAATGGATATCAAATGAAACGAACAAGATGTGCTTTAACTGCAGATGGTCAGCTTTTGTTTGAGGGTATTTACATCCAAATCAGGTGAACGGCGTAGGAATTACAACAGTTTGCATATGTGCCTCCCACTTGTTAGGGAACCAATAGTAATGGGACAATTGGCTTCTCAGCTGTTCCATGGCCAGGTGTGTGTTATTCCCTCATTATCCCAATTACAATGAGCAGATAAAAGGTCCAGAGTTCATTTCTAGTCTGCTGTTTGCATTTGGAATCTGTTGCTGTCAACTGTCAAGATAAGATCCAAAGAGCTGTCACAATCAGTGAAGCAAGCCATCATTAGGCTGAAAAAAACAAGAGAAACCTATCAGAGAGATGACAAAAACATTAGGCGTGGCCAAAACAACAGTTTGGAACATTCTCAAACAGAAGGAACGCACCGGTGAGCTCAGCAACACCAAAAGACCCGGAAGACCACGGAAAACAACTGTGGTGGATGATCGAAGAATCCTTTACCTGGTGAAGAAAACACCCTTCACAACAGTTGGCCAGATCAAGAACACTCTCCAGGAGGTAGGTGCATCTGTGTCAAAGTCAGCAATCAGGAGAAGACTCCACCAGTGTGAACACAGAGTTCACCACAAGATGTAAACCATTGGTGAGCCCCAACAACAGGAAGGCCAGAATAGAGTTTGCCAAACAAAATCTAAAAAAGCCTTCCCGGTTCTGGAACAACATCCTACGGACAGATGAGACCAAGATCAACTTGTACCAGAGTGATGGGAAGAGAAGAGTCTGGAGACGCAAAGGAACTGCTCATGATCCTAAGCATACCACCTCATCAGTGAAGCATGGTGCTGGAAGTGTCATGGCGTGGGCATGTATGGCTGCCAGTGGAACTGGTTCTCTTGTATTTATTGATGATGTGACTGCTGACAAAAGCAGCACGATGAATTCTGAAGCATTTCGGGACACATCATCTGCTCATATTCAGCCAAATGCCTCAGAACTCATTGGGCGGCGCTTCACAGTGCAGATGGACAATGACCCAAAGCATACTGCAAAAGCAACCAAAGAGTTTCTGAAGGGAAAGAAGTGAACTGTTTTGCAATGGCCAAGTCAATCACATGACCTGAATCCGATTGAGCGTGCATTTCACTTGCTGAAGACAAAACTGAAGGGAAAACTCCCCAGGAACAAGCAGGAACTGAAGACTGTAGCAGTAGAGGCCTGGCAGAGCATCACCAGGGATGAAACCCAACGTCTGGTGATGTCTGTGTGTTCCAGACTTCAGGCTGTAATCGACTGCAAAGGATTTGCAACCAAGCATTGAAATGTATAAGTTTGATTTATGGTTCTTATTCTGTTCCGTTACTTTTGGTCCCCTAACAAATACCCTCAAACAAAAGCTGACAGTCTGCAGTTAAAGCACATCCAGTACAAGTCAGAGACCTGTCATCTACAGAAATACTCAGATGACTCTGCAGTTGTCGGGTGTATCAGAGATGGACAGGAAGCTGAGTACAGAGAGCTGGTGGAGCGCTTTGTGGCATGGTGTGGAAACAATCATCTGACCTTGAACGTGAACAAAACAAAGGAGATGATTTTAGACGTCAGAAGAAACAGGGTGGAGTCAAACACTGTTTCCATCATGGGAGAAGAAGTGGAGGTGGTTGAGGAATACAAATACCTTGGAGTTCACCTGGACAACAGACTGGACTGAAGAAAGAACAGCAAAGCCGTTTACAAGAAGGGACACAGCAGACTGCACTTCTTGAGGACGCTTAGGTCCTTCAATGTCTGTAGCAAGATGCTGCAGAACTTCTACAAGTCTGTTGTTGAGAGTGTAATCTCTTCAGCCATCGTCTGTTGGGGTAGCAGCATCAGAAGCAGGGACCTGAAAAGGCTCAACAGCCTAATAAAAAAGGCTGGTTCTGTTCTGGGGATGACTGTGGAACCACTGGAGGAGATAATGCAAAGAAGGATTCTCCAGAGAATCAAGAACATGATGGACAACCCTGAGCATTCTCTTCACAAGACTGTCCGACAACGGAAGAGTGTCTTCAGTCAGAGGCTTCTTCAGTTTGGCTGCAACACTGACCGCTACTGGAGATCCTTCCTGCCAACAGCCGTTGTAATATACAACAACTCTTTGATGACTTGATTATTATTATTATTCTGAGCTACTACAGCAATCAATTTCCCTCTGGGATTAATAAAGTATTTTTGAATTGAATCTTGTTCGTTTCATTTGATATCCATTGTGGCGTATAGAGCCAAAAATGTTAGCATTGTGTCGATGTCCCAATATTTATGGACCTGACTGTAGTCGCAGAAAAGACTTGGTTATTGTAGCACGCTAGTGGCGTCGCTGGAATGCAAAACGAGCCCGTTCGTTCATTTCATGCTGGGAAATTCCGAGTTCTGAGAACCATTGGAATGCAGCGTTAACCTGGACCTCTAATCTGGGTCTGAGCAGCCATCTTGGTCAGGGCAGAGATGATCGTAAACGTCTAGTTCGGCCCAAACAGTTAGAACCTTTCATTCATCTGGGGAAGACATAAAAGCTGCACCTTCTTCTTCTTCTGCTCTCCTGATGTTTGACGTTTTCATCAGAATCAGCAGCTCCTCTGAGCGCTGAGAAGCTGCCAGCCACACAGAACCGGTTCCTCCGTCAGCTGGGCGGGAAAATGAAGTTGAGCGTTCCGTTGGTGACAAAGTGACGGTGGCAGCTTTAATCTATCGCCGCAGCGTCCGGACGGAGATAAGTCTCCGAGGCCATCGATCCGATAAAGATTTCTGACGCTGCTGTGTGATTGTCTTTGTCCTGCTCTGCCTCCGCTGAGACTCCGAAGTGCTGATGAAAAGGTTCGGGTTTCCTCTGATTGCTCATTAGGAACGCTGATTTGCTTCTGTTGTTGCCCTTTTTACTCTGTGATCTCTTGTTCCTCCTCCGAGCTTCACATCGATGACGGCTCGCTTCTCTCCGATTGCTTATTAAAGACGTTAATTTGTTTTCCACCCCTCGTACCGTTTACCCTCCTCTCCCGGAGTTCTTTCACTTCTCCGGACTCCAGCACCTCTCGGAACGCCGACCTCCTCCTCGTCCACGTGGGAATTCTCCTCTTCCGCTGATGAGATGAAGACGCTCCTGCTCATTATCAGACTGCTGCTCCTGCTGAGGACGTTGTCCTCCGAGGTCACCACAGCAGGCAGCCAAGAGCACAAAGGTCAGAGGTCAGAGTGGCCTCTAGGGCAGATTAAATCAGTCACATAAAAAAAGTGTGTATAAAAAGTTTAGATTTATGTTGAATTTAAATAATTAATGATGATTTAATTTAATAATAACAATAAACAAATATAAATATAGAGCTCAAAGAATAAAGTTTGATTTAAAGTTAAAATTATCACAAGAATCCTAAATATAATTGCAAGAGTAGAAAGTAAATTCAGAGAAATCAAACTGAAGCTAATCTGCTCCCAGTGGTTCACCCATTCCTGCTCCCGGAAAACATTCCTGTTCCATTTGAAGGCATCCAACACCTCCCGCTTGTCCTTGGGAGAGAGTCCGGTGTCCTGGTGTTTCTGAGCGATGGAGCGACGCTTCATCTGCAGCGATGAGGGAGCCGGTTCGGTTTGTTGCAGTGAAGAAGGCTCCGTTCCATCTAAACCCTCCTCTATGGACCCGAGCAGCTCCACCGTAGAACCAGGAGGAGCCTCGTCAAGAAGAGTCAGCTGAGGTGGTTCTGCTGGGGGTCGACCCGGGATCGACTGGTGGGATCAAATCCCCTGGCTGACCTGGCAATGCTGCAGGATCCCACCGGACGAGCCGGAGGAGGTGCTTTTATTCACTCACTCAGTGTTCCTGGGCTTAAAGCTACATCTGATCCTGAAGCTGCTGAATGTAACATCAGGTGTTTTTGTAGTTTGGACCATCACTTCTAAAAGCTGATCCTGAAACAGATCTGTGAGTCTGAAGCGTTTGAATCTTAGTGAACCCTGATCTGGGGTCAGATTTCTGTGTGTTGCAGCAGGTGGGTGGGGGTACTCACTGTTACTTACTTGAACGGCTTCTCTCCGGTGTGCGTGCGGATGTGGTTGTTGAGGGTGGTGGCGCCGGCGAACGCCCGGCCGCAGTAGCCACACTTGAAGGGTCGGTCGCTGGAGTGGGTCACCACGTGGTTCCGGAGCTCCGAAGGCTGGGAGAAGGACTGGGAGCAGTGGCCACACTGGTACGGTCTGAGAGGGCGAAACCACTTCATTCAGGTTAAAAGTCACTGAAGCTGCAAAAGCATTCTTCTTAAAAACGGTTTAATAAAACAGAATAAAATAAAATAGATTAAAAACACGAAAGTGGGATTAATTAGCTGGACTCAGATTATCAGACAAAAACCTAAAATTCACCTCTGTTTACTAAATAGATGTTTAAATATTTTATTTTGTAAAAAAAAAAAACTACATCTAAATTCTAAGCTTCCAAAATCACCGTCAGCAGGGCCAGAATCAGAAATCGGTATCAGCCCTCTGATTCAGGATCGGTGTGTCTCTAAACTTAAGTCTTGTTCTGGTTTTTACATTTAAAAAGTGATTAAATATGTAGACATTTTAATTTCTTTGACCAAGAAGAAGTGCCAGTAAGTGAATCTCCAGCATCAGTTGCCATGGCGACAGACCAGGTTAAAATCAACCTCGAGCAAAGATGATCCAAATCTGAACCTGGGATTTCTGCTGTAGGGTTTAAATCCAGCCGGAAAGATGGAGAGCACCTCCACCCACACGGACCAAGAAGACTCGGTCACCACCACGGTTACCACGGCAACGTAACCCTCATCAACAGGACTGACCTGAATCACAACCGGATCATCTATCATGGTGCGTGATAGACACAATGACCTGAGATAGCTGTATGTGTGTGTGTGTGTGTGTGTGTGTGTGTGCGTGCGTGCATGTGTGTGTGTGTGTGCGTGTGCATGCGTGTGTGCATGCGTGCGTGCACGTGTGTGTTGAGCCCAGATGGGACTGAATCCGACTGAAACAACGAACCGACATCTGCGTTTCAGTTCATGGTGAATCCTGCAGCTGCTCTGATCTGAGGAGGTTTCAGGTCTCCTCCTCTCTGGTCTGGGATCAGTTTCCAAACATCCTGTTGTTGTTTTTGTTTTTGATGAAGGACCTGAAAGGAACTTCCTCCCATTCTTCATTTAACAGAGATAATCTGCGGAGCTAAAATCCTGATTTATCTGATGTTTGAACAGATTCATCTACAGAAACGATCTGATTGGCTGGAACCAATGGCCTAAACATCCAGATAGATAAAACGGGTTTTAATCTGGATTAAAACAGTGATAAATCTAAATTAAACTTGGAAAGAAATCAATGCAAAAAGGTTCATTAGGTCCGCTTTTGGAGAAAATCGGTTCTGTATCAACCCTCCAAAACAGAATCGGTGCGTTTTCATTTAAAAAGTGATTTAAAGTTTTTATTTCTCAAAGATTTGTTTTAAATAAAGTTTATTTTTATCTCTGGTATGAAAATTCTTTATTCTCCAAATTAGCAGCTTAAACAAACGATTCTTAGAGCTGTGCTAAAAACATTTAAATAATAAAAACAACAAATATTATTGATGATGATTTTTAAATTTAACTAATTATTTGAATTAAATTATAAAATAAACCTCAGATGATGCTAGTGTTACCATTTAATTACAAGTGTTGCCGTTTTAGTCCATTTGCTAAATTAATCTCAGATTTTCATTAAATTTTAACAAAACAAACATTTAAGTTTTAAAATGAGTAGAAATAAAATTCATTTTTATGCAAACGATTAACAAAAATATTAAACCGAGGATTGTTTTAATAACCTTAAATAAAACCCATTTTGGATGCAACTACAAGCTCCGCCCTCACGTTGGATCCCGTAGACACGGTGCAGAGGTGGAAAGTAACAAATTACATTTACTCACATTACTGTAATTGAGTAGCTTTTTTGTATATTTATACTTTTTAAGTCGTTTTTAAAAGCTGTACTTTTACTTTTACTTAAGTAAGTTTTTAAAAAAGAATTGTAATTCGCTACTTTTACTTGTACTTGAGTAACAAATTATTAAAGTATTGGTACTCGTTCTTAAGTAGGAAATTTTAGTACTCTTTCCACCTCTGACCCGGTGTGTCTTAAGTATGGCCCTTGGTTTTTTGTGACCGCAGTTTTCTCCCTCTGGATTATCTGGATTATTTTCAGATTGAGCTTATTTTTTATATTTGAGCAGAACAAAAAGAAAATCATCAAATTATTCCCGTGGCCCCAGAAAACTTGTGACCGGACGATTTTGGCCCTCGTGTTGAACGGTTCGGACTCCCCCGACTTAGATCAAGATTATAAATCACCCGTTTGCTTCGGTGATGAAAACGTTTGGGTCGTTGTAATTCCAGAGCAGGAAGTGGAACAAATTCCTGCTTGAGAATGAAGAGATTCTTCCTGAGAGGAGAGTCGGCCGTCAGAGCGAACAAACAGAAAACACCCGAGAACTAGAATAAAACAAATAGACCAACATCCTCAGCGCCGTAATAAATCACAAAGAGTAGCCTGAGAGGACACACACACACACACACACACACACACACCAACAGTGAATAAGAGTAAAATAGTGTAATATAAAATCGAAAAATTCTCACTTGCAGTTTTCCACATAAAAGGCGTCTCGCCGTGGGGGGGTGGGGTCATTTATCAGCCGGCTGCTCTA